CCCCCCCCCCGAAAATCCTAACAACGCCCATGCTGCGCAACACTGCAAGGAAAACTGTTCAAAAAATCCTCAGCCGGAAGTTCATACCGTGCAGATTTCTCTTTTTTTTTTACTATCACTCAGGCCAGCAAATTTTCAGCAGGATATCTTGCCACATCGTGAACGTGACGTCGCCCAACAAACACATTTTCTTTGGAGACGATCAATTGTCCATAGAGTCAAACGTCAAATGTTCTGAATTTGCAATAAAATAAAAAAGAAAGAAGTGTTGGTAATTCCAGTTTTTCTGAAAGGGGGCTCATGGAATCCCGATGTTGCATTCAGTTTGTTAAAGAAAAAGTGACCCTGCCCTGTGCTCAGCTACAACTCATGATTTACCGGTTCTCGCTCAGACAGAATGAAACGAGAAAACCTGGAGCGCCTGGGCTGAACTTGAAAAATTCTAAAACATTTTTGAGGAATGAACGCAAATTTAACTTCTTCAGTTCTAAGTAAACACCACTTGTTTATATTTTTCTTTGCTGGAATGCCCCTTCATAACATTCTTGTTTGTTCATCCCAGTTTACTTGAATAGTCGAGAAACTCTCGGTCGTGACAATAAGAGGCCTACGTGTACACGGGATCATTTTCTCGGTCAGTGACTGTACCCTGAATATTGGGCAAAGTCCAGCGAAATGATAAGTTTTGATGAGAAGATTAATTGGAACAGATCAATGGGTACGCTGAATGTTATGCAGGATTTCCACACAAAGGAACAGCTAGAATGCGCTTCAGCATGAGCCTTGAACATGTTGCCTTCTGCTTTCCGTTTCCTCCATACTTTGTCTATGTTGTTCCTCTAGGTCACTGTACTGAAACCTGGTAGGCCTACTGAACGACCGGGAAAAGCAACGAAGACCCGTGACCATTGTATGTTAATCTGTTCATTTCGCCAGGGTCCCAACAAACACGTCACAACTGGCCTTGACTGTGCTAATACTCTGGGGTTGGTGCACGTAGGCCACCCCAGCCCAACCGTGACGAGCTCAGCCAGCTAGCTATCCGGCTGTTCGGGCGCTCAGGCTGGCCAGGGGCAGCCTTGCCTAGGTGTAGCAAGAAGGGGGCATGGAGTATTAGAAAGGAGCAAAATGAAAGGGGTATCAAAATATTTGATTTCTAAAGGATGTTTTAGAAATGTTATTTGTAAAGATGAAAGAAGAACAAAGTATGAATTAACGTGTTAACATCGAGTGTAACATTGTTCGGTGTAATTTGCATAGAGGTAAAATAACGATTCAGCATGGTTTCTAATCTATCCTACTTCCTAGGCTGACTTGGTTTCTAATCATGACTTCGTGCAACTGTTTATAAAAAAATATATATTTCTGTAATAAGATATGATACTTGAAACTTGGTGTTCTTGTTTATTTGGCGAAGAATACATATAATTTCACACACTTTCTCTCAAAACACAGACAGAGGCTTAAAAAGTTGAGCATGGATGAATAAGGATGGGCGTTCTTATTTCTCCGTGGACGTTCGACTTGGTTCTCAGCGCGCGTGGAGGCTGCAACACCGTAAGAAAACGTATTGTTCAGGCACATGGAGAAGAAAACAATATCCATCATGCCAACCATAATAATTGTAAAATTTCAAAATCGTGCCACACTAAAAGACGCTCTTATGTTTCTCAATGGTTTGTTCCATTTCCGAGGAAATGATGAGGCACCGTTCGATTACCAGAAATTCTGAGAATTGCACGCATCTGTCGTTGGATCCTCATTCACGCACGCGCCTTGTTGACAGACCGTATCATTTATAACACAGCAGTGACATGTTTTGCCGGATAGTTGGGAAATTGCTGTTTATGATTTAAAAATACCAAGGGATGATTGCAATTTAGAAAATAAGAATAATATAGAAATATATTGGCATAAAAATCTCTTTTAAGGTGTATGTTATGTACATGCAATTGTCTTTTCCCTTTTTTCAGCGTTTGATTCGGTTACATCTCCACATAGATTAGTGGAACAGTCCAGTTAAGGTTCGCGCGCGATCATTGAACTGTGCACGTGATCTTGTTTACATCAAGAAAGGGGCCGATGACCGTGGCCCTGAACTGCCAATTTTGCACGTAGACACTGGAGTTTTCGAGTAATGTATTGTGCAGCAAACAGCGGAGGGCTGCTTTTTAAGCGTCCGCGATGTGATCCAGCGTTAGATTTTACGAGGGACTGGAAGAGAGCAGTTGGGGCTACTGAAATTCTGCTGTTTTTTGTGAGATTTCTGTATCTTACGAAATGTGCAGGCCCAAGTTTCTCCAGCCCAACGGAGCTGGTGGGGTGATCGCTGGGCAGGGGGCGAATGGAAGCGTGCAGCCGCTGCAGAATCTGCAGCAAATCCGCCAATTTTCTGGGGACCAGAGTCTTAATTGCTCGCCCCCGCCTCCGACGTCCCCAGAATTTGATCGGCAGTTTTCAACCAGTCGAGGATTTCTGTCAAAATCTCTCTCGGTTGCCGAAAGCAGGGAAAGCAGAAGATCGTGGGGGAGAAGCACTCGTGCGCGCAGCCCATCACCATCCTCGAGAAGTGATACCCTACCGAGGAAAGCATCGCCGAGCCCCATTAGAAGTGTCGCTCCCCAGGTTCAGAGTCAGTCACAGTCGGAAGTTGATGTGACCTCTCTACAGAGGGGAGTTGCCTCGTGTGCCGGAACGGTCTTCATGTCTATTTTCAGTAAGTTGGTAGTGTGCTGGCTGTTGATATGTTTCGTTTTGTTTCATGGACGGAAGAGTGAAGAAAAATTGCATTCGAATTTTTCCTCTCTTCAGAAATTTAGGAAAGTGTTCCATAAACCGACAACACTTGATGCTCCCGTGCACAGACCTATGAGACTTGTCTGAAAAAAACCCTAATGTTAGTCTTTTCTAAGAAGTAAGTGCTTTGGAAGTTTCTTAGCTAAATTTCAGTTTTTAGGACATGTTATCACCTTCTGATGGCTCTTAATGTTATAAAATAGTGAAGGAAAATTAGTGTTGTCCGTATGTGGAACATCTTTCCCAATTTAGTTTATCAACAAATATTAACGTTTGGCAGATATTTCCACCCTTACCTTTTCTGTTCTTCCTAATCTTTCAGTCGTTGTAAGTTTGGCTTTAAAAGATTGTATTTGCCTTAGAATATTTGAAGACAATTTTTTATTGTCTTTTTTATATATTTTGCACAGTGACTCCACTTGATGTGGTCAAAGTGAGGCTTCAGGCACAGCAACAGCCTACTGAGGTCATAAGTAAGTGTTCTAAGGCCTTTTGATTGAATAATCAAATAATCTTGTACTTTATTGCCGTTTTTGTTCATTTTGAGACCCATATTTAAGTATCATATATTGAAATTTGTTTCTTTTTTTTGGTCAGATTCATCTTCCATATCCTGTCTTGTTTCTCATAACATTATTTTAACAAATCTAGGACTTTTTCACAAAAAGGTTCATTAACTAATTTATCTGGCTGTCTATGGGCGGCCATCTGGGCAAAAAGACAACATGAACAATAAAACAAAATAAATAATCTAAGTTTGTTTGTTATTTTTCATGTTGCTTTTTTCCTTGATGGCGACCCATAGCTCTCTTACCAATTTTTCTTTTATGATGATTTTTGCAGGGTCTTTTCGTCCGGTCTTTAGCAGTCATCCCCACTCAGCCCTCAGCCTTGTTCCCTACAGAAGTTATACTTGTATTCCAGCAACTCACTCACATTCCCACATCATCTGCCCAAGCTCTACATCAGCCTATAGATTCAGTGGAACACTGGTAAGCGCTCAATATATCAATTTTATTTTGATGTCACAAATTACCGATACATTGCATATTAAGTTATATAGCATAAATCTAATTCCTGGCTAAATAATGCTTAATCATGAACAAAAAATGACGCAGAATAATTTGTTAAATGTCATCAGCTAACTCCTTATGTTAAAACCTATGCATGACACAAACATTTATGTTTGCTGTTTTTTGTATGTTCTTCTCATTCAACTTAAAACTCAGAATTTGTTCTTCTCCATTAGGATGCCTTTGTGAAGATTGTGCGCAGTGAAGGCTTTTGCAGACTGTGGAGTGGCCTGACCCCGGCACTGTAAGTTAATTTTTTTTTCTAATTTAGGGTTTTTGTTATTGTAGATTCTAATAACTGAGAATCGTATTGTCTTGTGAGCTTTTGAAGTCTAACTGCATTATTTTGAGTAGCTGAAACTGTCACATTTCGTGTCTTGTATGGTTGCCTTGTAGCTTGATGCGCGTCCCATCCAATGTGATCTATTTTTCGGTCTATGAGAAACTGAAGTCAGTGATGGGATTTCAGAAAGGACACACAGACAAGAACAGCTTTCTCATCACGCTGTCTGCCAGCGGCACAGCAAGAGGTTGGTTGCAATCTCATAACAGGTTTAATAACCTGCTTGAAATACAAATAAGGTTGCTAGAGTCTATGATTATTCTTTTGTGTGATTTACATCTAAATAGTTTACAAAAGGCAGTTAAAATATCGTCTTTAAGGCACAATAAAAAACTATGTGATCTTCCCAGCTTAAAGGATTCAAAGAAATTTACAAGATATTTGCAGCTGGTGTCATTCTATGTGCATCAATCATCATTGCATTTGTTGCTGTTTGTTTAATGTGCATTATCTGTTTTTTTATATTTTCATGTAAAAAAGGAAATGTTTTCCTTTTTGTACATTAGCTGTTTCTGTGACAACTGTCAGCCCAATAGAGATGATTCGGACCAAGATGCAGGCCGAGCCAACATCGTATGCCCAGCTGATGTGTTGCCTTCGTCGAGCCATTATGAATGATGGACTGTCATCCCTGTGGAGGGGTCTGGGCCCCATGCTAAGCCGTGATGTCATGTATGCAGGTAAAAATCCTCCTAAACTAATTCCTCAGTGACCGTGCTTTGTACAACCTACAAACGTTATAATCCGCAAGGTTCTAAGTGAAGCAAATAACGAACATTGAAAGGGAACCTTTTCTTTTCATTTCCATGTCTATTTTCTATTAGATTGCATTATACCAACACAAAAGTATTGATGAGGAACTGGAATTAAATTGGTTGCTATTGAATTCTAAACTGATTTTTATGATTTCTTATTTTTGGCTACTCAACAGTGCTATACTGGACTCATTATGAGCTGCTGAAAGCCGAGATGTGCAAGATATCTAACGTCAGTGATCCAACGGTGGCTATGACATTCTGGGCTGGTGCTGCATCAGGAGTTGTAAGTTAACATGTACCCAGTTGTTATTTTTTTCTCTTAATTTCAGCTTTCTTTGAATAAGTTTTGCAAGTTATTCAAACTGTTTGTTCTTGAAACGCCTGTGACAATATTAAATTTTCTTTTTCATTAGTGACGTTTATGCAAAAAGCAGACTTCTTGACCAATCACACTAAATGATATATAAATTTAGAAGATTTTTAAACAACTGACAAGTCACAGATGCCTAATATTTAGTAAGTAAAATATAAGAAAAGCTTATTTATAGGCACATGTTTTCCTTCATTTAGCTGGCTGCAGTGGTGTCAACACCTTTTGATGTTGTCAAAACGCAGAAGCAGATCACCATCGGGAAAAATCCGGGCTCCACCGGTGAGTTTCTTGTGTGTTTGGACTTTGTTTTCTTTGTGAGTAAAAATCTGAAGTTTGTGCTTATTGTGGACATCTCTAGCGTATTTTGGAGTGCTTTGAAACTTGTTTTACACCAGTGGCTTGAAACAGCCTTGAGATGATGAACAAATACCGTACTTCTTCAGCGAAACTATTTGCTCATTGCATAATGGAACATTTGGAAAGTTTCCTTTGATGTAATTAGATGGTTTAATAAGAAAACTTGATGATTCCTTTTTGTTGTCTGTTCATCCAGTCATGCCACGGTGCAAGACCAGTAGCTTGGCCATCATGAGAGCTATCTTTGCTGAAGCAGGAATGAAAGGCTTGTTTGCAGGTAAGTTGCCAAATCTCTTCCTTCTGTGGCCACATTTTTGTGTCTTCCTACTCCTTAATTCAGCCACAAAGTTAGCTGCCGAGTCATGAACAAATTAATTTATTGATCAGAAAGTTGTGGGTGCTTCTCAAGAAAATGGTATGGAATAATTGATATATTTTGTGTTCAAAAAAATAAATTGAAAAGGTGTGGGTTATGAGTGGTACCCATGTTCTGTTTTAAGTGTTTCAGAAAGAAAGAGAAAAGTTGAATATTTGAGCATTCAATCAGAAGTTTGTCATCACTCTGAAGAGCTTCGTTCTTTCAGTCAGCGCTATGTAACATTGATATTGCTTGATTGGTCTTGGTTTGTACAGGTACCGTCCCTCGCATCTGCAAGGGAGCGCCATCCAGTGCTATACTCATCACAACCTATGAGTGCGTTATCTCACTCTTCCAGAAGTACAACTTGGAAAAGGGTTACTGAAACCATGGCAACAATGGCTATCCAATCGCCACCCGAGGAAGCATTCAAAGTTCCAAGGAGGAAAAGAGATGGAACTTCCAAAGGTTGAACCAGAGTATTTGAATACGCACAATAACTCTTTATTGAGGAGTGGCATTGCTAAAATAACATGATAGTTCAGGAGAAACCAAAAAATGGCAGGGTCAAGGATTTGAAAGTTCACTGCTGCATCTGTCAATTGACCCTGACTTAGGTACTTTGAAATTTCACCCATTTTGGCGATGTTCAGTGTTATGACCTGTATGGACTAAGAGCAGTGCATTGTTACTTCTGCAAGACAGCAGAGAGGAAATTTGTACCTAATTTTGTAATTTCTTAGCTGATTGCAGTTATTTGTGGATATTTAGCTGTTTATAAGCTTTTCAAGTTTTTATACTTCCATAACATTTCTCTACTGATGTCATTGCTTTTCCAGAGTTGAGGATGCATATTGTAAGTGTGTTTGTGGTATAAGCAATGTGATTGTGTACATGCATTTAATGTCACAAGCAGTGTAAAATTGCAATACAGCTCTGGACTGTTTGTGCATGTTGTCAAAATCTGAGGAGTATTAAACTTGTTGAAACTTCAGAATTTTCTGTGATGTTCTGATACAAATGTGTTTGGGCATTGTCGTGGCAGATGTTCTGTGTGAATTAATTCACAGTTTGAATCATTCGCTGACTTTGAGAGTAAAGTGTAACAGTCTGTCAAATAAGCACAATTTACCATTAGATTAAAAAGGGCATTAATGATCACATGCAAAATTCCACGGAATTAAAAACACTTGTGAGGAGAATTTATTCACAACCAATATAGTAGTTGGATGCCAGTTAGTAAAATATCTCACTTGGAATATTTCTACCTACTTGACAGTGAAATTCAATGTCGCACAATAATAGACATCTTCCTTTTTTTCCAAAATGTCTCATAGCTGAACGTTAACAGCTTTCAGTAGCCAGTAAGTAGCTGTACTCTATGCTGCACTTTGTTGACTCAGATTTTTGAATTTGTAACTTACACATTTCGTCTTCTTATACTTTACTACAAAAGTTGTACATGGTTGAGAAAAATGAAGTACCAACTTGCAGTTTGCTTATGTGTATATATGTTAAGTGAGCTGGACTTACTTTGGAAAATGAAGTGTAGTGTGTATGTTTAACATCTTTCAAGCGTGGGTTTCATGCTCTTGAAGTTTAAATTTGTTCAGAGGATTTGTTAGTTTGTAACAAGTTTCTTCCAATTGTTTTAAAATATTAGGAAACTATCATTTGTTCGTGCATGACGGTCCACCTTTCCGAACAGTAAGACAAAACAGTAATTTTGATGTTAAAGTTGTTCAAAATTGAATTTTTCAGAATGTGTTTATGACTTAGTAATTTTTTTTCTTTTTTTTTTTGCAATAAACAAGGGACGATTATTTTAAATTGATTTGGTAGTTCAACCAGCTAAAGTCAATTGCACATTTCGTAAATTTTTTCAGTTTTTTCCATTATTGATATTTATATTTGAGGACCTACTTATTATAACAGTTATCCCACTTGGAATAATGATAAACGGCCAAGTACATTGAAGTTTCATTTAATAAACAAAATTTAACAAAAAAAGTTAAGGAAATTCCAGTATCATGATTCTGGTGTACTAAACTTCTAACAACGGATCTTCAGTTGGTGAAATCGTTAATAGAGTTGCTAAGTTTTCAAAAGTTTCATTGTAAAATATGATAAAATAACCACCCATTTTTCAAAAATTGGGATTGAATAAATTGCAAAGCCAACGAATGTGCTATCAATACGTGAAGTCAATGAAGTTTTGTAAAATGATTTTTTTGTGTAATACCCCGCCACAAGGTGGCGCACTTTATCAGACCATTTGCGTGTCGCTAGCGCGTGTCGTTAATGTATATTGGGTCGGTCCGTGCACATTTGACCTTGTGTAACTCGGAATCTTCAAAGTTTTAAACACTCGAATGGCCAAAATACAGTATCTCACACCGATGCTAGACTAGACCTCTGAAGAGTGAGCGTTTTACTGGCCTTACAAGGCTCTTTTCAGAGCCATTATGCCGCTACCCAACGATGGGCATGTGGGGCCATCGAACTCCGTAGTTGCTGCCCGTGTTAGTGGAAGTAATGATGATGCGGGCAGTCATGGTGGTAGGCCTGCCATGCTAGCCACTGGACCCTCACCGCTGCCTCCGCTTACGCCCGTCCAACAGATGATATCGTCCGGAACTGGGGCTTTTCTGACTGCATTATTCAGTAAGCAAATCTAAGATCTACAATTAGAGTGAAAAGCAGTCCTAACAAGCATGCCTACCACCATCCATAGGCTATGCCGAGGGTGTCACTGGAGGGAATGCCGGGTAGGCCCTCGTCTGCATCTGCCTGCAAAGAGGGATGACTCTCTTGACTATGGCATTGGGATAGTAGTCTGGGAAGAAATTTATGTGTGCATGTGTTAACCCTTGTATAAATGTACCATGGTTTTACCATGGTACTTAATGTTCATTTATTATAAGTTGGTTTCCATCTTTTGCTGTGAAATGTTCTGAGTTTGGTTTGTTGATTTATTCCCCATTTGTGTATTTTATTAGTGACTCCCTTGGATGTTGTGAAGATCCGACTGCAAAGCCAGATAAAACCCATTGCCAGTGGTGAGTATCGGCCAACACTCATACACACTGTACTGCAGTTGGTTGTTGCTCTGTTCAAAGTCCTAGGCATGTCGTGGATGCTGCAGAGACCTAAAAGTGTTTCAACGGAGACCTTCATCAAATCCATCCAGGCAGATAATTTGTAACTCTGAGTCCATTACATTGTTTTGCGCTGACATGTGATTTGCCTTGTAGCTCCAGACTAGTTTTATGTTCTTGCTTTGCATATTTTCCTTTTACAACTCTCAGAGTGCACTGTCAGCAAGATTCTCCAATTTCAGACCAACTTATGCTAATTCAAGATTTTCTAAGATTACTTACCAGTGACCTTCAATTTTAGGTAACTTGGACTTGATCACAGAAAACAAGTAAATTTCTACAATTTATATGTTGCTCAAAAGCATACTTTCTGATACATTTACCTGTGCCTATCTCTTTAACGTTGCCAATAGGTCAGTGTTTCTTGTACTGCAATGGTTTGATGGATCATCTCTGCACGTGTATCAATGGAAAAGAACCGATGAACATGACAGTTGCTCCATGGTATAAAAGACCTGGCCAATTCAATGGAACTTTGGTACGTTATCTCCATCACCAAACATTGTTTAATCCTAGTAAGCCCTTTTTAAACTCTAGCTCAACTTTACTTAGTTCATTATTTAACACTAGTTAACCCATGGAGGAGGACCCTAGTTCAACTTTACACAGTTTGTAGTTTAACCCTAGTTAACCTGTAGTCAACCCTAGTTCAACTTCACCAAGTTAGTTGTTTAACCCTAGTTAACCCAAGGTTAACCACTTGCCGCCAGGGTTGCCGGTACTGAACACGTATTCTTTATGTGGGTGGCCGGGGTCTCCCAAATCTGGCACCTATCGAAAAGAGGCCAGCAGCGCACTGAGCCAGGTTTGCGAACAAAAGAAAGTTACATAGCACCGCACAATCTGTGCTCTTTTTACAAGGCTGCAGGCCTGGCTGAAATGCTTGGGCCTCAATAGATTTTGTCTGTCAGATTAAAGTAGCCACCAGACAGTTATTCGCGTGGGTGTCAATGTCCATTAATTGAAATGATGAATTTTTGAAGAATTTTGAAAACTGAAAATCTGGAAAATGTCCCATTTGTGTGCACTGCATTTTTCAAACCACCCGGCAGCAAGTGGTTAACCCTAGTTCAACTCCACCTAGTTGAGCATTTGCAGGGAAGTAAAGTAAACTGTGAAAGAGCAAGGTCTAGCCCTAGACCCTCTGAACTTCTCTTGAAGTCAGGCCTGGTATCCCAGTGTTGTTGAAGAATAAAGAATGTGGCATATTGGTTAACTGATTGAATGTCAAGAATTCAGGTGTGCACAGTATGCCATCATGGTAAAAAATCGTCTGTTTTTATTGTTTATCCTGTCAGGATGCCTTGTTTAAAATAGCAAAGAATGAGGGAATCGCTAAGCTGTGGAGTGGACTTCCTCCGACTCTGTAAGACACTGGTTTATCTTTGTTGTATTCAGACATTTGAAGTTGAACTGCATTGCTACCAAGGTTTCAGCCAGGAGGTGTTTGGATGTTTTCAACACCCTGTTGTAAAATTACATGTGAAAGCATGGAACATTGCCAATTGTGAATTTATACACTTCAAGGCAAATTTGAACACTCTCTGTATGCCTGGCATCCACAAAAAGACCTTGTGTGATTTGTACACATTCAAATGAAAATAAAACATCAATATTTCACTCCTTATGTGCTCAAGCTTGTGTCCCACATGTGCTGTCTCCCGATCTCAGTGATTCTGAAAATTCTATGTACATTCTTAGGCTCATGGCAGTACCAGCCACAGTCCTGTACTACACAAGCTACGACCAGCTGAAAGAATTGATGGGTTACCAGTTTGGCAAGTCTAGCTTGCTGATACCAATGGCTAGTGGTGGTATAGCCAGAGGTAAGCCAAACAGCCGTCAGTTAGCAGCTACATGCATTTCTTATTATCTACACAAGTTTAATTCTTATCCATAGCCAAGTAAATGAAATCAGCCCCTTAATCCTAAGCCTTTGAACGTTCATTTTTATTCATACTCTGAATTTGTGACTGTACTCAGTATTGTCACATTCTGTGGCAAAACTATTGGCCCTTCTGTTGTTGTAGTGCGTGTGATTTCCCTGTGGTCCATTCTGTGGCAAAACTATTGACCCTACAGTTTTTGAATTGACTGTGACTTTTCCATGGCCCATTCTATGGGAAAACTATTGGCCCTGCAGTTTTTGCAGTGATTATGATTTCCCCATGGCCCATACTATGGGCAAAAATATGGGCCCTTCAGTTTTTGCAGTGACTGTGATTTCCCCGTGGTCCATTCTATGACAAAACTATTGGCCCTGCAGTTTTTTGCAGTGATTGTGATTTCCCAATGGCCCATTCTATGACAAAGTTATTGGCCCTCCAGTTTTTGCAGTGACTGTGATTTCCCCATTGGAGCTGGTACGGACCAAGATGCAGTCAAAACCACTGACCTACAACGAGATAGTCGGCTGCATTAAGACAGCAGTACAGGACGAAGGCTGGTTGTCGCTGTGGCGGGGTCTGGGTCCCACACTTCTCAGGGATGTTCCATTCTCAAGTAAGATTCTTGTTGGTTATGGTGAACAGTGTTGTAGTCAAGACCATCAGAAGACCTTTTTCACACCAGACACAAGATCAGTCACAAGTAACGGGGTGAACAATGATAAAGGAATACTTTTGTCGCGTTTCACTTGATTAGCTTGAAACTTGAATTCAGATTGGAGGCCTTGTGTTGGTCTTTTGTGGTCTTGTGATTGTCTTGCGATGGTCTGAAGAGGTCACGACTTCAATGCTTCAAGCTGCAAGCAGTCGTGTTTTAATCACAACATGTAGACATTTATGTATAAAAAGGCTGTTAAGTATTTGAACTTGTGATGTGTAATTGTAGGTATTGCAAATTCAATGCCATTGAAGACCCATGAGCAGTTGTTAACCCTACAACTTACATCATCTTTGTCAGTGATCTTGTGGGCTAACTACGAGTTCATGAAGACCAGGGCATGTCTGAAATACAACCGACGAGAACCAACCTTTCCGGCAGCATTTTTCTCTGGTGCAGTGTCCGGCATTGTAAGACTCACGCTTTGTAAACCATTTCAAAAATTATTAAACGGTTAAGATTGTTTTTTTTTGTATTTCATGTTAAAAGAATGTTTTTCTAGAATTAACATCTTCAATTTGAATGAAATAATTCCCTTACCCTCCTTATCCTAGCAAAGAGTCGACTCCCGGTTTTTTAATAGGATAGGCTGTTAAGACAAGCCAGTTTAGGTTTGTTGCCCCTTTGTTTCAGCTTGCAGCTGTCCTGACCAATCCCTTTGATGTTGTTAAGACACACCGACAGATAGAACTTGGAGAAGCTATGTTTAATACCAGTAAGTAATCTTTTTTAATCTAACTTGCACTTCTAATCTATGCACTTCTTCATGTTTTTTATAAATGTAAACTCCAACCAAGTCGGCATCGCGTAACTCATATCGTCTAAGTCGGCCTTTTGACAAAAGCCCCGATCGTCTGTAATGCATTTCCATTGAAAATTTCATTTCTAAGTCAGCATTTATAAGTCGTCATTTTGTATAAATTGGCATGTTTTTCTTGGTTCCTTCTCCATAAAACCACAAAAATTCCTTTGTGTAAGTCGGCATTAAAAAAATCGTGCTTCGGTATCAGTTTCCTTCACCGCGGTTGCCAAGAAGTGTCAAGTGACAAGTCCCACATTGCTTGACTGATGTCTGTTTATTAGCAGCACAGGCCATGGTTGATTATCGGCCAGCATGAGTACATCAATACCAGTAATCCTTCTAGAGCTACATGCATGTGCTCTGTCCATTTTGAGGGTCGCCTTATTGAATAAATTAAATTTTATTTTTTAATTACATTTTTATTGCACGATGAAGTTAGTTTTGTTTACTAATGAAAATTCCTTCCTGCCAAATTTGTCTTTAACAAGAAAAAGACGGCAATTACCGAGCCACATCCACCTGGAACATCATGCAGAGACTGTATGCTGAGAGGGGCCTCCGAGGCCTTTTTGCTGGTGAGTGAGACTTGAAAGAATTTCTAGCAATCACTGTTAAACGGACTTCATAAACCATGCAGTTCAAAACAAAAATCGGTTGGGATTGTACATTTATGGTCCAGCATGTCATTAGAAAAGTGAGTGAGCTTTCAGATGATGGAGGTTTCAATGTTGTTTGTTGTTGTAGGCTTTTAAAAGCAACTGCAGAAATGACATTTATTCTGAGCATAAATTGTGGCATTGACAACTGAATGGAAGCTTTTTTTTTTCCAAAGTCAGTATTGTACAGTAAAATAGCAATGTTAAGTTTTGGTAAAATTGTGCTGGCCTATTTCTCTGTGTTTAAACATGATTTTGTGTTTTGTTTTGTGTTAATCCAGGTATTTTTCCTCGCATTGCCAAGGTCACCCCAGCTTGTGCACTGATGATCAGTACATACGAGCTTGGCAAAGCGTTCTTCCACAAACGCAATGAGGCCATCATATCACAGATATAGTATTCAAAATTTGATTTTCTGCATCTTTGATCGTTGAAACTGTTGGATACAATGGAAGGACAATGGGGGGTCAGAAGATTGATTTATCACTTTGTACAGTTCATGGATGGAAGTGGGGCTTACTTTGTGTTAGGCCTTGACCATGTGCTGCTGGGGAACTTGGTTTCAGGTACCTTGGGTTTGTAGCATAGCCAAAATCGGACAAAAGAGCTGAGCCTTGTAACAAAAAAGTATTTGGAACAAAAGACCAAGCCGCTGGGAATTGCCAACATTTTTTCAGTTGTCAATGGCGGAGGAAATCTGTCATTGTTTTGAAAGATTACACCACTGTTTGTGGGATTCAGTGCCAGCGGATTACCACCGGGGACAAAAGTGCTCCAGGGATGAGCAATACAGTACTGCTGCATGCTAATCTAGCTCATTTTGAAAAAAAGTCAGCAGTGCACTGTGCCAGTTTCGGGAACAAAAGAAACTTGTATAATACCACAAAATTCTGACTCCTTTTACAAGGTGGCAGGCCTGGCTGAAATATTTGGGCATCAATAGATGTTGTCTGTCAGATTAGAGTAGCCACCAGACAGTCACTCGTTGGGGATTAGGCAGTCGGGGAAAAAAAAAAGGTAAGAATTTTTGAAGATTTTTGTAAACTGAAAATATTGAAAAATCGCGCATATTTAGGCACTGCATTTGGAAAAGGCACCCGGCAGGAAGTGGTTCAGCTGAGTAGGATCAGAGAGCTTGGGGTGCAGGGGCAGATCCAGGATTATTTGCGGGGGGGGGGTTCAGGAAATCATTGTTCAGGCAGAGGATTGTGACGCCATTTAATCTCTTTGTTTTGTCCTTAACTGTACACATCAAATAAGACCTTTCCGTGATTTATGCCCTTTAGGGGGGTCTTCTGACTTTCAGATCATGGCCAATAAAAAAACAAAATGAAATTGGCAATGGGGAGGGGTATGCCTGGGTTGTGAAATGACAACAGTACTGTATAAAACCAACACAAAGACCGAGTAACAATTCTTACTGAGTTATCTCATTGCACTTGGCTTTTTCTACCGTAAACTTACACAGACTCTGGATTATCTTTGATGGCAAACCTGATTGTTTGAAGAAACGAGGTACATTGTCAAACACTTCAAGCTGTTTGACTCGGAGTTATTTGCACAGTATTTGTGTGATATTTCATACTGTAATTCTGCCTTTTGAGCACACTGTGTCTTCCTCGGGGTGCTGTTTGCAACAACAGGTCGTGTGCACTGGCCGGGTCAGTGTACTGCTTGTAGATGACCTCACATATTTATCTGCTGTAAATCAAGGACTCCTTATGTTTGTTTGCTTTTTTATTTCATTCATCTTATTTTTTACAATGACTTCAATTAGTTCTGTGCACAGCTTTCAATCAAGGATGTCCTGAATTGGATTCCTGTCCCTTCGTTTACATGGCCTTCTTTGGTTAATGGCTGATATGCTGTATTTGAAATGAGGACATCTTTGAAGTCATGCATCAGTGAATGAGTCCAAGAAATCAAACTCTGACTGTACTGGTTTTCTTTTCTTTCCTGTTTATACCATGTTTTGTACTTGCTGGAGCTCAGTAAAGTTTATCTAGCTCCATCCATGTTGAACTGGACAGTCAGTAAACTGATATCGCCGGAAAGTCCTTAACCTTCAAATTGTATTGTTTGTACGCACCATGAGCCAACAGCACGACAGAGCAAAGTTCAACATAAACATCATGAAATTTCATAATGCCCTCATATCATTATACATGAAGTGAACCTCTAAGTAATACCTTCTCGGGAGCATTTTTATACATGACCAAAAACTAAGGCAGCCTGTTCATCGAGTGCTGCAGTCAGAGTGAATTTTTGTTACAGGACAGAATAACATGGATGGGTTTTGATTTTTTTTTTCATGAAATCATGCAGCTGAGCACCTTGGAATCCTAGAGCTTAGTTGCCAAAATCGATTTGTGTTTTCTCAAATCTGTTCCCATCATTGTGACTTCCTGGGTAAATTTGTACAGGGAGTCGTATGATTTGTATTGGTCTAATTGTATGAAATTTGAGGGTTTATTATTTTTTATATTCTGTAAATATCTTTACTGCTCAGGCAGTGACTTGACGAAAGATATATATAGTAAATTTTATTGCCATTTGAACAGAATAAAGATTGCTTAGCAAATGATCTAGTGGTTTCTGCTTGGTGTATGTTTGCTTGGATTTAGAGAATTGGAAGAGATGGGTGTGACACTGAACTACTGAGAATCCATACTATTTTCGATCAATTTCTCAAGGCACTGACGCATTTTTTATCCAAGGACAAATTGGTTAATACCGCTCTGTCAGCAGAAACTCGGACCTGGACAGCAGGTTGCAATAAACCATCACCACTCTGAATGTTCATTTTTTTGGCTGTAATTTATTTACAACAATCAAATACAAACGCTGGAACTTCAGTGTCTCCAATAATAAGTTGTTCAGGACAAGTGAAGATTTTGTTTATTTTTGAAAAGAACTGTTAGTGAACCTACAATAAAAATGTAGTCAATAAATTGGGCATAACTGTCTCCCATTTATAAATGTGCTTTGGAGGAAGTTAAACCTTCGGTTTCTCCCTGGAAATTGGTCTCTTGTTATAAAGTAAGTTCAAAAGTGCTTTCAATGCCCCGTCGAAAGATATTTGCCTAAAAAGTTCCAGGTCAACTTTTCCCCCCAAAGATGGCAGCTGTAGACGGGGGTCTTTGTGGCATGACACTGGACCAGATAAAACCCTTCTCCTCTCTGAGGGAGTCTACAGGAAGGGGCGTGGTTCTAGACCGGTAGTACTCGCTGGGGGCATGGCAAACAAACTCCAGATATTCCAGGGAGCGAGGGAGTTCTTCTTCTGGACCTGTCAAGGCATTATTTTCAAAAAACGACTGCTTGAGTGTATTTTTAAATAGTAACTTGTACAGCCCAGTGTAAATCAAAGGAAATAATGAACCCTTACATTCGTTTCATGTTGGATTTCACGTCTGCACAAATAACACTCAAAACATTTCAAGTATGGACAGAGTCTGAACTTTGACCTCATACTACATGTTCCTGAAGACGAAAATGCACCAATGATGAGCTACGTTCTTCCCATTGGGTTCTTATAAAAAATACAACCAAAGCCACTAGAAGCAGGAGACAATGATGTTATATACCACATTGTTGTTATATCAAAAATTTGAAAATCACAAGGAAGGGGAACATACAAATTTGTAAAATATCACAATTGGGAAACAAATTGGGAATGACATAAATCAAATTTTTTTCTTTTCCTTACCCAAAATGTATGTAGCAGGATCAAAATGTTTTTTGTCAGTCGCCTGTGTGGGGAGCAACCACGTAATCACTGCACTCTTGTCACCATACTGATCTTGAAGAAACCCTCGGATCTGTGCATAGTAAATACCGCCCTCAACATCTAAGATTGACACAATGTCACCTGCTTGCAAGTAGACACCCTGTAAATTAAAGGAAAGCTACATTAGTTCTGATTTTCTGAAAAACAATGTCCAATCTCAAAACAATTTGTTAGCATTGAATTTAATATTGGGATATTTACCTGCTGGTAAGGGCAAGCTATGTGAATTATGTTCAACAAAGAACTGTCAATATAAATCTCTGCACCAAAATAGATTCTTCTATTTTCAACATTTCTTAATGATAAATTAGAGATTTATGAACATTTTGGAAGAAAGAAATGATATGGTGAGTTTACTTACATGATGGAACACACTGTTACTTGTTACAACGGTGGCATTGGCTTCTGGAGCTTTCATGGACTGGAAATCAGAACAGGAGAAAAATGCAACGTCCTTCCAGTTTGAGAATATCTATTTTCCCTTTGCTATGTTAGAAATTGTTTTATGCAAATTTATATAATGAAAATAGAAGACTATTCTGATGATGCAACTTTCAAAATGGAACAGGAAAGGACAAAGTAAACCAATGGTAGGGTATTGGGAAAGACTTTTGAATACGGAAAACACTTGATGCCTCTGTGCACAAACCTGTGAGACTAGTCTGTTTTCTGAGTAAATGCTTTCCAATTTACTAAGCTAAGATCCACTTTTTAGGACGTAATCACTTGCTGACAGCTGTTATACCATTCAAAGGAAAAATTAGTGTCATAATCAATATAACAAATACAGTGCATTCTGTCAATAGGTAGTTATGAGAGCAGTAAACACGTAGTAACTTATTAAAAATGCAACGCTGATAATCTGACAAACATGACTACTGTACATGTACTCCTAACAGACTACATGTATCGTGTCAGTAGGCCACCGGTAAACGGTATGCTTTAAAAAAAAGATGTTTAGAACTTACATGTCTTTTAAAAATGATCCTCCTATTTTTCCCCTTGGTGGCCTGTGACTTGGCAGCATTAACAATCTGTTTGTAGCGCAATTTTTTCACAGTTCTGGCAGATTTCCTGGTTCCTTCTCTGCCCAATCTTCCACTTGCCCCGCCACCATTTTGTCCCGAAGTGGCGCCCGTTGACGGCTGCCTTCCGTCCTCGCTGCCGTCGCCTGTTCCGGGGTGTTTCAGACCGCAAGAGTTGCACTGGATTTTTCCATCAGAACTTTGCCTCCAGATGACAGAATTAGTTGTTTTACATGTCAGACAGAATGGTTTTTCTCCAAGTGGCATTTTGCTGAACAAAAAAACCTACACTGGACAGAAATCCTAATTTTTGTTAGCGATAACACGTACTAATATTCCGCACTCCACCACATAAAGTGCGCCCTCAAGAGAACGATGTGCTTATAAATAAATGTCAGCGCAGTCAAGTTGAATTGAGCTCACCGCGCTGAGCGTGGACTGTTTTTTGGTCTTCACCGAGTACGTCTGAAGGTTGGTTCATCTTATGCTTTATAAGTTCCTCATTCGTTACATTGTCAAGATAATTATGAGTCTTCTATAAAGACTAAAGATCTGCTTCTCAGCCTTCCTTCTGTCATTACGCTAGTAGTAGTACTAATACTAGGCCTAAGTAAGTAGCAGTACAGACTAGGCTTACTTCGAGAAGTCACTCCGTATTACTCCGTGTGACTCCGAGGAGACAAGGTTTACATGGTGTTGTCACGCTATGGGGTTTTGGAATCGAATTTTTGTGGTGAAATGGTTTACAGCCCTAAGCTGTTAAACCAAATTCTCCCCTGTCAGCATATCTGCTTGAGACTATAGCCAGGGCCTAGGCCTACCTGCTAAAAAGGGGATAACAAAAGTTTCAGAGCATCAGACGGAGTATTTTTGGACAAAAATGAGATTTTTGCTCACCAATTTTTCACTTCCACCCATTGACTGTCTCTCCATTCATGCCGTTCATGTTTATCAGGCTGCTGAGCGTTGAGCCCACCGATGACCGCACTTGTTCCGCATTTTGGTATGACCATTTTCGCTGGCGGAGGATGACATCACACACAACGCAGCACATGTCGCGCGTCTTGCCCGATGTGTGTTTCCAGGTCACAACAGCAGCCAGGACAGTACGGTCCCACAATGAAATCCACACAAGATGTCATCCCCTACCACCGAAAATGGTCGAGCCAAGATGCAGAGCAAGCGTGGTCATTGGTTGGCTCAACGCATGTGCAACCTGATAAACATGAATGGCATTAACGGAGCGACAGTCAACAGTTGGAAGCGAGAAATTGGTGAGCAAAAATCTTGTTTTTGTCCAAAAATACTCCTTCTCATGCTCTGAAACTTTTGTTATCCCCTTTTTAGCAGGGAAAGATCAAGCAGATATGCTGACAGGGGAAATTTTGGTTTAATAGCTTTCTTAGGGCTGCAAACCATTTCACCACAAAAATTCAATTCCAAACCTCCATAACAGTCCCAAATCCTCCAATTTCAGTATGCTTACATACACCCTTTGGGGTTAGGGTTATCAACTGAAAAGAAAATTAAATTGTACATTTCCATGATCTCTAAAAGAAGTTTTATTTCTGTTAAAAGATATTTGTTTATAAAGATAAACAAAGAAATTGACTGGAGCGGGATTTGAACCTGCGACCTCTGGAACACCATACCAACTGAGCTATCCAGCCCTATGTTGGTGGCTCTTCTCATTTGTCAATATCTCTGTTCGGGGGCCAGAAGCCATTAAACCTGAAACACCATGTAAGCCAGGGATCACACCCCAATAACACAATACAACCTGGCAAGTGGTGAACAGGGATTACTCAGAGAGAATACAGCTTTTTGAACATATTACGAAAGAAACTATATCGGGAAACTGACTAGGTACTTATAAATGATTATAAAGATGAACAAAGAAATTGATTTGAACCTGCAACCTCTGGAACACCGTGCCAGTGCTCTACCAACTGAGCTATCTAGCCCTACATTGTCAATATTTGTCCAATTTGTCAATATTTCTGTGGGGGGGGGAGGTATTAGCCAAAAGCCATTAAACCTGAAACACCATGTACCTTAGCCCCTGGTGATATTGACAAATAGGAAGAGCCACCAACATAGGGCTGGATAGCTCAGTTGGTACAGTGTTCCAGAGGTCGCAGGTTCAAATCCCCCTCCAGTCAATTTCTTTGTTCATCTTTATAATCATTTATCAGTTTCCCGATATAGTTTCTTTTGAAAGATATTTTGTTAAATATTCTGAACATTGTTTTGATTGATTAGTGTCTTTGGTTCACCTGTACATCAAGTTACCATGGGTCTGAATTTGAAATTAAACATTAACTTGAAAGTGAAAAGTTCACTCAACCTGACATTTGTTAACCTGTCAACATGTTGTTTGTACAGAATCCTTGCAAAGTGAACTTTGGCCATCAGGATGCATTGCTGGTGCTTTGGAGGCTATCCTTTGTTATGTTAATTTAGTTACAATGAATGTGCTGAGCCTATCCTAGTGCTACAAATCCTTACCCTCCAACTCCGCCTCAATGCATAACTTCTACTTCTTACTTCAGAGGCTACAAACTTCAGGATTGAGTTTCTATGTGTTATCATCAATAATTGATAAAGAAAATTTTCAAAATTGCAACAAATAAGGCATTTCTTTCATAGCTTCAAATATAATAAGCTTCATTTGATATAATATTCAACTTTACATTAGTTTAGTGGTAGTCCCACCAACCTGTCAAAGAGAAAATGTTTGCAATTAATTTAAATTCTGTTCTTGAGTTTGTTTTAAAAAGCTTTTCATTTTACTTGCAATGCAGCAAATGTCAAAATGTTGACCACGATTGGTCTTAGTACTTTCTTGGTTCAGTAACTGCAGGTAGTATTGATGACGGTTGCTTTTTAAGAGATCAACAGTGATCACTGACGGAATGATTTTCGGCAAAGTTTGTTTTCAAAAAGGTCTTTCCCCCTCCTTGTCATTAGTCATGGTCAAAGAGCTAAATTGTGTTACTTACACTAAATAATCAGATAAGTAGTGATCTTTGCTCAACTTAAAGTCTGCATAGATGCATGCCTGATATTGGTGAAATATGATTCTGATGTTCACTCATTTTTCTTACAGAGGCTTAGCAAGATGCCAGGATTGTTCAATGCCGATGTCCTTACAGGGACTAGACGACTGTTCTACGCAGTCACTCCAAATGAGACATCATTTGAGAACCTGGAAGATGTACCAGATTATTTCTACGAGGTAAATAACATGATTAGTCACTGAAGTGTTATGCTCAAAATGCATGTGGCAAAATGCTTGTCATATTTGTATGTCTCTCTTTTGTTTGTTTTGTATATTTCCATTGTTTCATGTCAAAAGTTTATAATAATTTTTAGCTGCTGTGATATACCCGTTCACCATTTTTGAAACAGAAACAAAAGATGAATTGCAAAATTTTTACAACATATCAGAAAAAGCTAAAAAGGGAAGATGATTTTCCTTTGTAGAGATGTAGGAAAAACAAAAGGTGTTTTCAGAAAAGTTTGGGTGGGGCTGAGGAATTTCCGTCCGGGAACATGTGCAGAAAACCTTTTTTGTAGACTTTGGACATCCATCTAGGACAAACTGTTTCCTTCACCATCTCCTCCCTGACCAGAACTGGTGAGAATTGAGTGGTGTCAGAAGAGTTTGGTGGGCAGACCGTAGATTGGACTAGGTTTTGAATAAGTAGGTATCAGAGATATTGGACAGTTGTCTGTGTAATGGACCTTCATGTTGAAATCAAATATTAGATTTGAATGAAATGAACCAGTTCTTATTCTATTCTCCTCCTCTAGGCTATTCCCTTCTTTGGTTTGCTGGCTCTCTTGGAGATGATTGTAACTATTGCAGACAAGAAGGTACGAGAGAGGTTCTTCCTCCCTGATAGCATCAGTTCCCTCACAGCTGGCATGTTGCTGCTCCTGACACAGTAAGCATCTGGAGTTGATAGATACATGTAGTGAAGACTTTTGCAGCAATTTTGATCCATCCCCAAATACAGGGTCTTTTGTTAAGCAAATCCACAAATCAGTTATGTAGGAATCAGGTGGGTCCAATTGTACTTATCTCCTTTTGTCTCCCACGTTTGAGTCTCTCTACACGTGAGTTTACTCTGTCCCTTTAACACCCCAGTCTTCAGGACATAACAGACATACAGGCTGAAACTTAAAATGCATGTACATGTATATGTCTGACAGTAAAAAAAAAAGTCAAGAAAAGTTACAATATATTTGGGACTGAAAATAGAAATGTCACCTCCTTTGATAAGCAGATTTTTCAATGAGCAAAGCTTGTACATTTATTTATTTAGTTAGAATGCATTGAACGTACATTACTTGCAAGGTAAAACGTTACTGAAACAAGTCATCTAAGTCCAACATCAACTTGTTTGTCCTCATCTGCTTGTAGGTTCTTATCTCATGGCGTTAACATTGGCTTCTACGTCTGGGTGCATGAGAATTATCGACTGGCCACTTTGGCGTGGGACAGCCCCTGGACTTGGATCATTTGCTTTGTGCTGGTGGATCTGGGTTACTATTGGATGCATAGAATGTCACATGGTACAGAGATCACCATTGGCTATTTATAAATGCCTCAGATAGTACAACTATTTTGATTGGTTGAGATTTCATCTTTTACTATGTAGATTTTCTAAGCTATGATGTAAAAACCTATTCAGGCATGTGGAATTTGCCAGTTCAGCCTCACTTACAGCTCAACCATGCAAGGTGCAAATGCTCTTGTGTCTTTTTTCTAATGAATCAGTTTCATTGACCCGTCTTGCAGAAGTCAACATCTTCTGGGCTGCTCATCAAGTTCATCATAGCTCAGAGGAATACAATCTCACCACCGCACTTAGGCAGTCCATTTGCCAGCGATTTGTGTCATGGGTAAAAAAAAGAGTCTATTTTTCTGTTTTAAAATCAAATTAATAACAGTATCCATTTTAAAAGGAATATTCCTGGCACTTTGCATGAAATGTCGACCTTGATCAGCAATTATACAGTATAAATAGAGTCTAAATTACATGCACAGTGAACAACCGTAAGATCACAGTGTATGTATGGAATGATGTCATGTCTTCAGAGAAAGTTTGTAGTCTGAGTACTAATTTGAAAGAGTGGTGAAGTGGTGAGAAAATCAGGAGCTGGACTTGGCATTTTGGCCTGAAAACTGACTCCTATCGACTTGTTTTATTCAGTTTAATATTGCCTCATTCAGTTTAATATTGCCTCATTCAGTTTAATATTGCCTCATTCAGTTTAATATTGCCTCATTCAGTTTAATATTGCCTCATTCAGTTTAATATTGCCTCATTCAGTTCAATATTGCCTCATTCAGTTTAATATTGCCTCATTCATCCTGGGAATCCTAATCAGCACTTAAGGCTCTTCTCGTGTCCCATCTTTAGATTTAGGGCTGACAAGGAAAGACCCACATTTGAAGAAAATCCCAGAAAAGATTAGTCCAGGGAAAACCCCGTACTAGAAGGGTTTGCAAACCTCAAGTCACTCTGTGGTTCTTGTTGGAGTCAAGTCGTGTCCGTCCATTTTATAATACACCTTAAGGTCTGCTGTAGGAACATGAAAGCCAGTTGTTCAGGGACCACCTAGCTGGACGTCGGTCCTTGTTCTAGTTGCTCTCATTGGATTATACATCAATGCTCTATCCTTCATCCAATCATTTCCTGTCTTCTTAGATGTTCTACCTTCCGTTGGCCTTCGCTATCCCCCCGCCCATATTTATGATGCATCAACAGTTCAACACCCTCTACCAGTTCTGGATTCACACAAGGGTATGTCAACCAAATCCCATGGCAACATTGTCTCCACCTGTCATCCTCTTGGACACTTATTTATCCCAATCCTAACTCCTTGTGTATTTTGCGGGGAATTTTTTGAATCCCCTGAAATCCCTCCTGCAAAATCTTCCAGACCTGGTAAATTAGGAAGGAATTTGGCACTTATGAAGGCAAAGCTGTAAACAGATATGATCAAGTGTATTAAAGTTTCTCATCCACTACAATTGTAACTTTCCTTTCTGTCTGTTTTCATTTCTGTTTGTGAACAGGTTATTAAAAGTCTTGGTCCCTTGGAGTACATTCTAAACACACCAAGTCACCACAGGGTTCATCATGGTAGGTACCTGTACGTCTCATTAGAAAACTGATAAAGTTTCCAATTTTTAAACAGCAATAAAAGTTGTTAAATTTTACAGCAAGGCTTTTTGTCCTTTTCACCTTGAACTCAAGTCTCACATTTGGTTTACTTCAACATTCAAAGGGCATCAAGCCCTACTTAAGTACTCGTGGATTGGCTTTATCTTCCTCAATCCTGCGAAATCTTTGTGATTTTTGAAGGATCTGGAGAGGTTTGGATTGTAAAGTCATGCAACCTGTGTCAATTGTAAAAGTTCACCCGAAAATTCAGGACATCTTTAGCCAGCACAGTTATCAAAATCTCAAATCGGGAAGATCAGCTGTCCGTGTACAAATGTGCTGAACAAACACTTATCAGATGGGCCTTGGTGTATTTGTAACAGGCCGGAATCGTTACTGCATTGATAAGAACTATGCAGGAACTCTCATCATCTGGGATCGAATGTTTGGTGAGTTGGCTTATCTTTGTTTGGAAGATGATTGCATAATCAGGGGTATTTATTGTTCATTACAAATATCAGTTATTTGTATTGTCCAAGTCTCTGGTACTAAACTGTTAACCACTTAAAATAGCCTGTAATTTTTTTTATTAAATTAAATTGAGTATAGATGTCACAAACGGTTTAAAAGTGATATCAGATTTTTGGCTTGGATAATGATGATTTACTTTAAGTTTTGTGATTTTGAACCTTTTCAATTTCCCTTTTCCAGTTTCAATTTCCCTTTTCCAGTTTCAATTTCCCTTTTCCAGTTTCAGTTTCCCTTTTCCAGTTTCAATTTCCCTTTTCCAGTTTCAATTTCCCTTTTCCAGTTTCAGTTTCCCTTTTCCAGTTTCAGTTTCCCTTTTCCAGTTTCAATTTCCCTTTTCCAGTTTCAATTTGCAATTCACAATTCAGTATTGAATTGCCATCTTTTGATTTTCAGTAGTTTTTATATCATTTTTCAGTTGATTTTCAATTTCTCTCGTTGGCATCTGTTTTCCATTTCGGTTCATTTGATTTAAATGGAAGGCTCTTGCCTTACTGTTCCTTGCTTTGATATTTTTTTCAATCAGGCACCTTTGAACCTGAAAGTGAGCCAGTTGTTTTTGGATTGGTTCATCCACTTGAATCATACAACCCACTTTACACTCAGGTAAAACATTCAAAACCTGATCATTTCTTTTGACTTGATAATTCTGCATGAGGTTATTATTTGGGTCTGGTCTTTATTTCTCAGAAGTAGTTGCAGTTTTGAACCGTGTTGGATGTTTTTATTCATGCAAGTGAAGTTTTGTGGTTTTTGTGGTACAGTACTGTCACTATAAATACATCTTGGAGACAGCATGGAACATGCCAGGATTGACTAACAAACTCTGGGTATTCCTGAAAGGACCAGGATGGATGCCTGGATTACCAAGGCAAGGATCCATTGAAGACATACCGGATGTAAGTTGGATGCTTTAGGCTATTAGGGGAAAAAATTTAGCTTCTTATCAGTGTTGTTGCCAAGTGATGTGAAAAATGCCATATTTAATATAATGTTAAATGGGAAAGAGCAGCATGTGATTTGTAAAGCAAATAATTTTTACGGAAATACCTTTTTTCTTCTTTCCAGTTCATGTTTTGACATTTTTCCTACCTCCAGATTACAACCCAACTTTACTGCAAGATGGTTTTCATGTTTTTCTAGATTCATTACCCGATGCCAAAGTACCGACCTAGACTGCCACATTGGAGTCATGTTTATATCATCATTCATTTTGCCGTCATTTTCTACGTCTATGATGCTTTCATGACTTCTCTGAAGGTAAGTTTGCTTGTCATTGTTTTTCATAAGTGGAGCTTTAACCCCTTGACAACGGGACTTTCTTCACGAAAGCTGACTCCAAGAATTCCAGCCTCACTTGGCCAAGAAGGCCACCTGCCAAACTGCAAATTCTCGGTTTGTGGCCCTGCTTGCTCTGCACGCTTTGAATTACACGGTGAAAAGGCTGATTGTTCGGTGGTATGCAGCTCTACTCACGCTTCCATATTCCCGTTGCCTCTTTTCAAAGTGGAGACTATTGTGAAGCTGGTGATTATGATGCAAATTCGGTCTTTTCATTTCTGGGCTACACACAAAGACCAATTACCATATATACAAGAGCCAGGGTCTGCCTTCTTTCACCGTGTTCGCTTGAGCGTGGGCTGAGAATAATAGCTGAAAAGCGGGCTGAGGATCTCAATTTTTACAGCATGTCTAGCCGCCTCCCAGCACGAAGGGGTTAAATGAAGAGACCTATCCATGATGTGAGTAGGGTTCACCTGCATGCACGCAAGAGGGCGCTGTTCTTGTCATGTCAGTCAGTTTATTCATCAGTGGAACTTTCAGTGAAGAGACCTAACCAGGGTGTGATCTTCTTAAGAACTAACTGTAACACGTTGTGACCTTTGAACTTGCTGACAGACTGAGTTGTTCAAGTTTTTATCTAATGTGAGCTCAAGCAGTTTTAAACATGAAAAGGAAACTGTTGAAGAACAATCTCTTTCATTCTCTGTCTGCAGACGCTGTCCCAAACTGCCACCATCTGTGGCATGACGTACATCATCTTTTCATTGACGTGTCTTGGAGCGATCAATGATGCCAAGTAAGTTTTGTTGTGTTTGTTTGTTGGTCAGTCGGTCGGTTGTTGCTTGCTTGCTTGCTCGCTCGAGCCAAAATTTTCAACTTTGCAAATTATCAGGTTTTGTTCCCATCAGACCTGCAGCTCCTTTCCTTGAAGTCTTCCGTTCCTGCTTGGTCCTGGTTGCTGAGGCTGTCGCCATTTCCTACCTTCCCATAATGCAACGAGGTTCCTCCCAGTTGGTGTTCTACATTCTGAGGTTAGTGTTTGGCTTGTCAGTGGTGGTCTGGCTGCCAAAGTGTGTGTCAGTGCTCACACAGAGAAAGAACAAGGCCGAGTAGGGTTAACCTGCAGATGGATCCATATGCACGCACGCAAGAGGGCGCTGTTCTTGTCACGTCATTGCATCCTGTTTTTACATCTGCCACGGAATATTGTCATGCAAGACTGGCAAATTGTTTGCTGTACATATTCACATGTATGTTAAAATTGTAGCAAATCATGTTGGAACTATGCTTGGAGCAAAAATTGATTTTTTATAACAGCATCAATTATTTCTTTTTTTCCTTTTTTGGCAAATTCAATGCAAATTTTAAAGAATGCAGTATATGAATATGTACTTATATATCAGAGTGTTTCAAATGCAATGCAAACAAGTGAAAATGTAAACCACTTCATGGAAAAAAAAAATCTTACCACAGTTATCAAGTATGGGATTTTTTGTCGGGGGGAGGGGAATTCAGTGCCAATTGGTATGAATGTGATGTACAGACATCATGATAATTGTACATCTGAGTTTTAAATACAATGCAAAATGGTGGATTATTATGTCTTATATATAGTAATATTGGTTTTGTCTTCTGAGATTAATTACACCCAGAAATGTACCATCAAGACTCCAATGGTATCAGGTGCTTCCAAAGCTTTGTATGTTATCCATTCCCAGATGACTGAGGTCTGATTCAGAGCAACAAATCCAAAATAATTGGCCATTTTTCCTCTTTTATGTCAATGTAAATACATCGAAATTGCATGCTATTTACGGTAAGTCTGATAATTTCAGAAAAACAAAATTGACGACAAGCTAAGAACATTTCATATTATTGCTTATATCCTCTAACCTTGTAATCTCAAGTAACACCAAAATAGAGTGATTTTGGTACTTTCTAGAGCTTTATGCGTAAAATTGTTTAGTTAACCTTGCTTTTTCACCAATGTATAATTTACTGTGCTTGATCAGTTTTATCATAGAGTATTGGTTCATACAAAACATCGATTGTACTAATGTTTGAAGTTGTATTGCTGCTTAAGGAAACTAGAATGCATGGGTAATGCAAATGGTAAGCAAAGTCTTTTATCGAATTTGTCTAAACTTGAATGAACGCCAAGGCTATAGCCTAGCCAGTTTTTCTTCTCTTGAGTCACTGACATGACTATTTTTTCCATCAACTAGGATGGTGTTCAACCACCATCTACTCTTGAGCATTATAATCCACAAATGATGTCAAAGACAAACTTTGCCTTCAGAAATAACAAATGTCAAAAGGCATTCCCTCTAAGAACAGACTCAGAATGCAGAAATAGGTTGAAGGTTACAACACTGGTTGCTCAATTGTTTATTGCAATTAAGAAATTTTATCAGAGCTGTAAAAGCCAAGTAAACTGTCCAAACATATTTTAAACCAAATGGTAATCCATCCATCCGAAAACATAATTCACTTCCCAGCACTGGAAATGTCTGTTAACTAAATCCAAGAAAATCATGCAGTTCACAGCTTTCACAACAGGACCACCAATGCAATTTACAACTAATTTTATGCAATTTCTTTTTCCACGAAAATTTACACTACAGTGTGTATACCAGGCAAGATATGGGACAGAGGGGTACCCCCCCTTACCTGTCCAGTCCCTATACACACTCTAGACTATTGTTACCTAACACATCCCCCACAGAAGTCTGTAAAGAATTCCCGAGATTCCGATCAAACAATGACCAACACACAGCAGGGGAGTTCTCTCCGTCCCATATCTTGCTTTAAATGACAGTGTGTGTGGACAGCATAATCTTTCCTGCAATTTTTAGACAGCTTCAATAGGAATCTGGGTTCCATAACAAAGGTGTTTTGTTTTTTCTTAATTTTTCCAAACAATTTGACACACCTGCAAACACGAACAAATAAGAGTAATGTTCATGTACTACTGACACATTCAAGACCAATATTTGGCCTTCAATCAATCCAACTATACACAAAGTGGCCGTGCAGTTGGCCTTATCAGCATTGTCGTATCTATGGTAGTAGGAAGGGGCTCTATCATCAAAAATGGCAGAACTGTCGTAAGAGGCATCATAACGCTGGCAAGTTTCTCTCTTTGCGGAAGTCACAAATTTGTCAAACCATTTGCCCAGTCAGAAACGGGCGTCATCAGGCAACGATTTTTCTTGGCCTATCAGTTCAAACCAATGGCATGTTGTAACTGAGACTTTATGATCTGTGTGTAATGCAGAATGTGCAACAAGAATTATAAATCATTTAGCATTTATAAACAGCATACAATAAGAGAGAACATTAGGATACATCTATTAAGAATGCAAGCAAGAGAAAAAATTCATGTAAGCGGAGATTTGTTTCATAAACCAGGAACTTGCAGTGTTCCGATCTGCAACAATTTTGTGTGTTGTTCACAAAAGATTACTGCTCAACAAATTACTTGTAAGTTTAACGAACATTCTTTGAAATAGTTATGTCTGCATCTCATCAGAATCTCCAAGAAAAAAAGTTTTCTTCTATCGTGTTGCTGAAAATCCACTCAATCATGACAAGCAACACTTTCCAAAACAACAATATTCCTGCCATCACTATTAAGTATTATTTGTTAACCACTTGGTGCCGGGGTTTCCAGTACCAGATTCCTTGGGTTTGTACGCATACGTGTAGCTAGGCTGCCCGTAATTGGATAAAGGAGTTGGCCCTTCTAACAAAAGACCGTACTCTGAACAAATCACATGCTGTGAATTACCGTCATTTTTCGGCTGGCATTAGTGGAGGTAATCCATCATTGTTTTGAAACAGTATACCACTGGTTGCGGCATTCAGCACCCGCAGATTATCAGCGGGGACAAAAGTTCTTCAGCGATGAGCAATACAGTACCGCTGCACGCAAATCCAGCTGCATTTGAAAAGATGCTCCTGCCATTCGGCAACGTCAATTTCAGAAATTATGCAACACTGCACAATCTGGGCTCACTTTACTGGGCAGCAGGCCAGGCTGCAATACTCGGGCTTCAATGGAAGTTACCTGTCAGATTACAGTAGCCACCAGACAGTCATTTGTGTGGGTGTAAACGTCTAGTAAATGAAGTTATGAATTCTTGAAGAATTTTGCAACCGGAAAATTTTGAAAATTGCCTTGCATATTCAAATTCCACCCGTCTGGTAGTGGTTAACCACAAGCATGCTGAACCCAAAGATAACCAACAGTGGGCTCTTTCAGTAAGATTTTGTTTGTGAGGAATAAACAAAAAGGCCTTTTGTTCTAGCTCTTGGATTCTGTTGGATTCAGCAGGGTGCCTGGAGAAACCCATGAGGGTTAGGATTAAGACATTGGTGGAATAAGAGTAAAATGAATGAACGGGATCCTACATCTAAAATGTAAATAAGTGACAATTCATGAAAAAAACTATATAGGGAAACTGACTAGGTGCTCACATATAATTACAAAGATGAACAAAGAAATTGACTGGATTGGGATGTTAACCTGCGACCTCTGGAATACCATACCGGTGCTCTACCAACTGAGCTATCCAGCCCTAGGTTAAGAGGCTCTTCCTGAATAGCTCAGTAGGTAGACCACCAGTACGGTATTCCAGAGGTCACAGGCTCATACCCCACTCCAGTCAATTTCTTTGCTCATCTTTTTAATTAAGTAAAATTTCAGTTAAACTAATTTTTGCATACGTTAAACAGGAGAAGTAGTGTATTAAATGCCATTCATTAGTGACAGCTGTGACTAATCAGTGGCAGGAAAATGTGAACCGATTTTCACTGTCTAGATCCAGATATGGACAACCGATTTTCAATGTACCTCCAGCAAGAGGGGGTGGCAACACCCTTTCTATCTACACCTGTCATGATGTGTGGAAGCCTGTTTTTCAAAAAAGAGCATTTTTGTCAGAGGACTTTTAAAATAACTTGTCAACCTATTATCAACTCATCTATCAAAAAAAACATAGAAACATACAAAAACTCATCATAAGATCAACCGACAAATGCTCACATCTAAGAAGGAATATATTATATCAGAGTCAATATTTTTTGCCTAATATACAGCACATCCACCAAACTTTAAAGGCATTTTGAATTAATTTTTGCCTCTAGGAAGAGAACACTCCACAAAAATTATTTAATTTAGTACATTCTTCATCAACTGTGATGCAATATACTAATACACATAGGTTACAGAAATATTTTGGCTTCAAACAAGAAACATTCTTCACGCCAATGGCATGTACAGTAGGTTCCATAAACCTCAAGTAATTTTCACAGGGGTTAGAAAACGCAACTTTGAGAAGTTAGAGATCCTTGCAAGGAGTACGTTTTTAATGAGTTGGAGAGTTCAGTGACCCTGAAAACAGCACTGGTTGAGCCAGGCATCAAATGTCTTGAACAGGGACCTAAGTTGGCCCTAATCAGGCCCTCATCACAAATTCTATCCATTATCATCCTGGGAAGAAATAACCTGTTCATTTTACTCTCATGGAAAGATAACACAAGCAAAACAAACTGCGTGTGTGTAAGTGATCATATTATGTGAGCATATATCCAGCATTTAGTTTCACATTTGATTATCTACAAGTGCATTATGCTTATTATCATGATTGTTATATGGCTTGGTACATATAAACTACAAGCTCAGCAGTAGAGGGCTCACTTCACACCTCATACCACCCTTTGCCATGTTTGCAGTACAGTGCAAGCCGTACACATTCTTCCTAATACTTCAAAACGACAGTTGTGGCAAAAAACATACAAACTCTCTGCTAATAACACCCTATCACCAGAATTAAATTTACTGTTAAATTTCCAATGTGCACACTGACTTGACTTGTCCTAGATCCAATATGAAATGAATGCCAAATGTTTAACCCCTTTTCTATTCAGCTACATACTTTAAAAAACTGCATCAATGACTATCAACAAAATTCACATTTTTGAAGCATGAGATAAAAACACCTTCTGCCGTCAAACTGCTGGAGAAACACAGTTTCAAACATTCAATACAAATAATGATAAAGGGCCTTGAAACCTATTCTGTCTCTGTTCAGATATTTCCATATCTTAAATATTATTTTCAATGGAATAGCCAAAAGCCTACGATCATTTCTGTCATTTCAATGTACCCTGTGATTAAGCACAGATCTTAAATTGGACTTATATCATGCGGCAATGCTGTCTCATGGAGAACACACATCACTTTTTTATGCGGTACTGCATCTGAATGTGACTTACTGTCCAATTCCTGCTAGTCGAGGTTTGACAAAAATCACCACGACACTCGTGTTTATCAGTAACTGTTTTCCGCAATGGTGAAGCAGTGGTGCATACCTGCTGGTAACCTGTTTTTGTTTTCATCCATTACGGATCAGTCTTGTTAAAGGGTAACTTGTTCCATTTTCACTAACTACACAAAGCTCAGATCATGTTTTGTCAATCCTAACCAACAGTTTGACGGGAACCCCTTTTTCAGAACGAGCTCTGTGGCATGAAAAACTTCTGAATGACTCAACAGGACTGAGGAGTCAAGAATATAAGCTTCAGTATTTCTTGGGGGATCTGTGGAAGTGTGAAATGTTTGGGTAATCCAGGAATTCTGAAAAGAATAATTTTGTTCTCAACTGAGAACAGTGATGGGCCTAATAATATACATATACCTATATGACATTGGCTCCTTGCCCAATCAGACTTCTTTTTTCATTATAAATGGACAATTTATGACACCTTGGGATAAACATTTTTCCCCTTAGAGCCAGGCTGTATCTAATGTTGACAAGAAAACAATAAATTACTGCTTTAGAGTACATGCCAAGCCACATTTACCAGATGCTGTCCTGCTGAGCTGATGGGTTGGGAACTTGGGATGTCACTGCCCGAGGGTTGCCATGACTACAGGAAGGCATCCGGATTGGCTCGTGGATCTTTCTGGTTTCGGTAGCGGAATGTAATGAAAATACCAACCATCTGCCAAGATGAAGCAGGAAAATGGAGAAAAAGTCCATTTCAGCTTCATCCAAGTGGTGTGATGACCTATACTAAGTTAATGCCATCAACAAATTCACTGCACATTTTGATTTTACGCTAAGTCATGTAAGTCATGAAGTAATCTTGGGGAATCTGTACCAACATTATCTACTCCCTACCCCCCACCACCTGGAGTATATGACGAGCTGTCCCCTTCCCCTCCCCCGAAACAACTGGCAAAGAGAAGGTGCATGGTCACTGACACAAGGAAATGCCAATTGGCAGCTAAGCCATTGGACCAATTGTCTTACATTTCTGCCACTTGCTCTTTTACTCGGGGAATAAGGAAATGATTTGCCTCACCTTGGCAACAGAGTGAGTGGATCTTATGAGAAATGCAACTGAATAGAAAGATCCAAAAGGAAAGAAGCAAATCCAATCAATAAGCCTTTTGCGAGTTAAATTCTAAGAAAATCTTTCTTTCAATTCAAGTGAACATAAGAATTTGAATTCTCCGTAATCAAGACACTGTTGCTATACCTTGTGATTCAGGGCAAGCTTTGGCTAAGTTACATAAGAGACGTCTTGCAACAATACGCTGTTGTCAATGGATAAGAAGGGCACAAAGGAACCAGTCCATTCCAGAGATGGCGGTCGCTATGCAAAAGCTTGCCCCGAATCACAAGGTATAGCAACAGTGTCTTTAGTCTGGGGAACTGAAATGATGTTTACATGCAACTAGATAACTCAGTGTACCAGATTTCATTCATATGCAACCAACAACGTTTTAGGATCAGATTAACAAATACAAACATGTACAGCAAAACAGGTAACAACAGCAAAAGTGAGTGTACTTCAACTTACGCTGTAAATTTTCGTAGTTGAGAAAAAAGGGATGGATGAGGAGTGTACAGACAGATAATGGATGAGGAAAATGATAGTATAACAAGATGATAATGACAGCAGATGGTGATAGATGGAGGTGACAGTATTCTCAAGGGAATGAAATACATGCACTTAATAAGGAAACTAAAAGAGGGAATGGAAATTGGGAAAATAAATATCGAGCCCACGATCATGCTTGAATCTGTCCTCCAAATCCTTGCTATGAGGGGGGGGGTTAAGTTAAACATTGCAAACGGGATAGTTTTCTGGCAGAAAAATCAGCATTAAAAAAAAATGAATTTTCATGTAAATCAAAATTAAACTGATTAGATAACTGTTGACATAGAAAAAGAGTGTAGAGAATGAGTTCTGAAATATAAGATCATACTTAAAAGATTGTGAAGCAAACACGTCAAACAACTGGGCAATGTAAACCCGAGCTCTTGACAACTTGCTTAAAGGGACAGGGGCTTTCCTTCAAGGAGGAGTTCAATGACCCATCAAGTCAGCAAGAGGGGTGATGTAGAGAAGTTTCTAGTGAAATCATGTTGAGTATTGAAATGTTTTTAAATGAGGCACCACTAGATTAGAATGCAAGTATCAGTTGAAACTGTTCACATTTTTAAAGACCTAAGTAGATTTGATCTATTGATGCAATACTTTTTGCTCATTTTAATCAACCAAAAAAGATCAAGAGGAAAATGAGCGAGAACATTTAAACCTCTCTGTTGTTCTTGTCAGTAGAGGGCAGCATTCATTTCTGATCATTCTGAAGTCCTTTACGACCACTTTTGGCAAGTGATACTTGACATTATATTCATCAACATGGAATTGGTGTTTCATTAAAACAACCACTGTTCATGTTCTATTCCAAGTACATTAAACCCAGTCTTTTTCAATATCACAAATATGCTTTGGTAAATGACCTTTGACTTTTAAGGCTAAGTCTGACTGCAAAAAGTAACCCAATCCATCACGGACTGTTGACCAACTGAACCGTGACTGAGCTGAAGTGTTCCTGTTCTTGAAGTCCCAGATGCAGTCAATGGACACTTGTAGAATCAGAATGAAGTGGACAGCCACTGCAGGACATGTCACTTTGATGACGGTGAATATTCTTTTTAAAACTCTTTGATGAAGAAGTAAAATACAATATTTGCATGCCGCTCAACAGGCTGATGGTCAAGTCTTTGGAAAGAACTCCAATTAAAAATAATATCACTTTAAGCAAAATATCTACATCCAATTCGGGAAAGTTAGATTCAATAATATTCTTGATGACATGCAAATGCAAACTCAAACTAATTACAAAAAGTTCCCACAAAGTGACATCCAATTTCACAGAAACATGCAAAATAACCATACTCAATGCAAGTGCTGGGCTCAGAAAGTCAGGACAATCTGTGATTTGGTTCTCACCTCTCACTTTGAATGAGAGTTCTTTGCAATTAAGTTGACCTCATCTTGACCCATGGATATCATATTTGACAATGCAGTTCCTCAATTTACCATTGCAGCTGACTCAAACAAATGGTAACATTTTTGGGCTTGAACAAATTGAGATATCTCCATGTACGCCCCAAGAATGAAAGTTTGGCTGGGCAGTACACAGTCAAATTAGGTGACGCCTTTCGACAGAGGCAGTTGCCTAATATAACTGAGCTGTTTAACAAAGTCTGCACTAACACTGGCTTGGAAGAGTGAAGAGACAAAACGTGAATGACAAACTGTGAAGAATAGGAAACTGAGAACAATATGAAACACTCACATGAGCTTGAATTCAAATGAAGCAAAACAAATACAGAAATAACCAAAACAAATGATCTACCAAAATCCAACATTGCATTATTTATCTTCTGGATTCCGACAGTTTGAGAACTGCATGTGCCAGACAATTCTACTTTAGTACGGGCTTGATATCTAATATGGACAAGGAATGTGCCCATTGATTTAATGCAGAGTTGGATTTGGGTTGAATCAGGACAGAATCCAACCAATAATGAACAAGGGGTTAGGATGGACAGAGTAAAAAAAGACCTCTAATTTGGCTTGTTACAGCCAGAGTTTCGAGTACTACCTAAACGGTTGTGATGGGGTTTACAAGAACGCGCTAGGATTTGCTCTTGGGTCTTTCTGGTTCCGATATCGCACAGCTAACCACACCCCGATCAGCTGCAGGTGGAAGGCGTGGCACGTATAGTGGGATGAAAAGAGAAGAGAAGACAGAAAGAAATAAAATGAACGAAAGCAGGATACTTGATATTCAGGTGTAAATGGTATAAAAGCAAAGCTGGAGGATAAATGTTTGGTTCAGTATAAACAGATCAGGGTTCTGAAGTAACTTTTGAAAGGAGCTGGGACTAACAGGAGCATTCACATTATTACTCAAGGAAATTGTAATCTTTATTTCAGAAAAGGACATGCAATTTTTTTTTCCTTTTCCGGGAGAGTAGCACCTACGAAGATCTACGCCTCCGTGCAGGTGTAATGTTCCACGTGATGGAGTCAATGGCCCAGTAGTCCATACAGGAACAAAACATTTCCTTTGACAAGGATAGTGAAAGCTGAGGTTGTGTTAGTGAACCTTCTAAAGGAGTGAAAAACCACTGAAAATGTCAACCTGCATCGCTAGATGCCACCACCAAATGTTAATTTACTTAAATGGTTTTAATATTTTATTGCAACAATGTGGTGGCCAAAAAAAACTTCAGTCATTTGAGTCTGGGAATAAAACAGCAGAAATAATGGCTGTTTACTGCTAAGGTGAAGATCTACGGGGTCAACACCTATCAGCAGATTCATTGTTGGGCTGACTGCAGTAGCTTTCAAATCCAATCTAGAGAAGCACATGCGACATTAGCACCAGCACAGTCACGTCATGTCCAAATCAACTGGCTACAGCTGCATGTATCACACATGTCTATGGCACACAGTCACAGCCAGTATCCATTGACTTCCATTGCTTTCTGCCACAACTACAACTTTGGGAGGAAACCTTTACACTGCCAGGCTTCTTGAAACAGTTGAATGGGGAGATTTTACTTAGAATGAGATGGCACTCATAAGTGAATGGTGGTGCATGAACTGTACGTTCTAAACTCTTCCAAACCAGTGAAACTTACACATGCACTTTGGGAGGAAACCTTAACACTGTCCTTTGTAACATTCTAGTTCTGCTTACAATGCACTGTAATGACCCCTTTTACTTCAGGTACGTTTCATTCAAGGTAAGAGCGCCCTCTTACAGTCATGCATAGAGGATAATCTCTCTAATGTGCAGGGACGTGCAAACATAAAAATAAGAGGAGTGAGGTGAAAGCGAATGAGGAACGACTTCAACATGGAAAGCTTTTATCACTGAATATTCAAGGTTTTCTGTGTATTGATGGAGAAACGTTTGAAAAGACTGATATGAGACAGAAGGGAACAGAGGTGATGGCTGGTGACAAATCTCCATCTAGTACAATGTGAGTAGCTATGGCAACGCCTTTAGGCCAAGTTCAAATGAAGTACATGTAAGAAAACAATGACAAATTTTGCATCCTAATTTCTGATTGGTGTAGAGCTGGATAACTCTTTTCCACTGAGATACAGTTAGTTAAGAGACACCTTCTCAGTATGAGAAGTGCTGAGCTAAGTTTTCTTTGTCTTGTTGACACCTGATTTCAAATTTCTCATTTCCCTTTCTGGTTTTAAAAAAATGACTACAGTAACAAAAATTCATTCAAACTCTGGCACTTTTTCACCATCACAAGAAGTCAAAAATGGATTAAGAGGTTTCAACCAACCTAAAACATACAGACATCTTGACACTGATATGATGGTTTATGATGTTGTTTGGATAAAGAATAACGATCCTCCGATCACACATCAAGGCTCTTAATAACCTAACCATCATGCCAACATGACAATCAAAGGATAGCAACCTGACCTACCTCTGTAAAACTAAAGAAGAGACCAACTCCGCCCGAGTAGTGAAGACCTTGGTAAAACACATCATCCAACTTGTCTTTACAAGGCTTACAATCGGAGCAGTTTTCACCAGTTTTACAGCATTGTACCTGCAAAGACAAATAGACAACAGAACCATAAAGGCAACATTTCTATTCACAAATATTATCTAATCCCCTGGGTTTTTATACCGTACTAGATACATTATTGAGCAGTGTTGTATTCGAGTCCATCACAAGTCAGTCACAAGTCCTTTCACAAGGCCAGTCATAAATAATAGGGTGAACAATGACAAAAGAATGTTTTTGTCACAGCTCATTTGAATATTTTGTGAATTGGCTTAAGACTGAATGACTTGTTAAGTGATGGACTTACAGGGAGTTACAGGGACTTGTGATGGACTAACAGGGACTTGTGATGGACTAACAGGGACTTGTGATGAACTTATAGGGACTTGTGATGGACTTACAGGGACTTATGATGGACTTGAATATAACATTGGTATTGAGCCTACAGAAGTTCAACAGATAACTGCGACAAGGGGGTCACTTTAATAACTGGCTTGTGACTGGACAGAGTCTGTTCAACTGTAACAGGTCAGCAGTGTTGAAGTTTGAGTCATTTGGTATGGATAGGTCTCTGCAGTGTACGGGTGACTTGCAAAGTAGCAGTGTCAAACCTGACAAAATCAAGCACAGTCCAACACATGGTACCACTTGCCAGTCACTCCCTGGAGCAACCGCTGTGTGTCTACACTCAAACCAAATCCAACACCATCACCCTAGGCATTTCGTCCTCAATCCAACAAAGTTGACTAACAACTTCACAATGTATGTCACGGAATCAGCCCAACCTTGATAAAACCTACAGTTGGAGTGACTTGGGGTAGCTAGGAGTAATGTGCTAGTTTATTGGAGTATTCAACTCAATAGGTGAACTGAATTAATTGCCAAAGACAGCAGAAAACTGTTTTACACTCACAAATGACAGCTGACTGTTTTCCGTGCAATGGTCAACATGCCAACAAGCTTTGGAATTGTTTGACAGTTTTCCTGGGATTATTAACAGTTTTAACTTCTGAAACAAACTATACAGGGCAACTTACTAGATGCTTATATATGATTATAACGATGAACAAAAGAATTGACTGGAGCAGGCTTTGAACCTGTGACCTTCGGAATACTGGACCATTGCTCTACCAACTGAGCTATCAGTTATGATATGTAAGGACCTAGTCAGTTTCCCTATATAGTTTGCTTCATGATGTGTGTTCAAAAAGCCACATCCCCCCAAGCAATCCCTGTTCACCACTTCCCAGGTTGCAGCATGTATAATTGGAATGTGATCCTTAGCTATAATGTTCAGGTTACTTGGCTTCTGATTAGTGCCCCTGAACAAAGATAATTGACAAATGGGGAAAGCCACCAACATAGGGCAGGATAGCTCAGTTGGTAGAGCACCAGTATGGTGTTCCAGAGGTCACAGGTTCAAATCCTGCTCCAGTCCATTTCTTTGTTCATCTTTATAGTTTTAATTTCTATCCAATTTTTTAAATGGGCTTTTTCAGATTTGGGGTGGAATGTGGGGCTTAGGGTAGGTAGCCGCTTGATGCAGATAAAAGTGCCTTAAGATAGTGACACTGGAGTTGTAAAATGGCCTCTTTGTGCCAATCTCCAGCGGCACTCAGCTGAGAAGGAACTTCAAATTATTCCAAAATCAAAACGGGTGGTATACCTCGTGGCAGGAAGGGTGCGTGGTGTCATTTGCATCAAACCCACAGCAATCCAGGCCTTTCTGAATGTCCGACTTTGTACCGTTGCTAGAATTTTTCCAGCTAGCTTTCACCAGCTTTCCTCGCTGTTCTTTGCCAAGTGCCAAGCAAGCAATGGAGACTGAAAACTGAATCAGGAACACTAGGAACAAGATCACCATGTACTGTGCAACAGGTAGTAACAACTCAGGAAAACAATGTTTTGATATGATGCAAATGAAAATAGGATCAATTAGTAAAAATGAAACGAAATGCAAAGACAAATATAAAACTTTCAAGAAACTGAAATTTTGAAATAAATCTACACAGATGGGCTCATGCTAATGAGAACTTTACATACAATTTTCAACAAATGTACAAATATCAGAAAACAAAAGCTAAGTGTCTTGTTACAATGTGGTACATTTTTCTGTTGAACTATTAACCTGATCAGCGAGATCTGGGCGGGGGAGGGGTTTGTGCACACTTTTTAATGACAGTCACATTCACTAGACATTCAAGGTCACTGGTGGAATGGCCTAAGAAATTCACAATACTACTTAGTCAGTTATACAAGATTAGTCAGTCAGCCAGTCGGTCGGTCAGTCGGTTTGACTCAAAGCATGGCTTGAGATGATCACATTCCACAGTTGTAAAGATGACACCTTCCATTAACCCTTACAATACTGAATGGAATGCAAAATGAGAGGGCAAAACTGTTGTGTTTGATTAATTTCTAGACCCGAGCAACAAAACCCTTTTGTTCTAGTTCTTGAACCAAATTCAGGACAAGCTTGTTGTTTTGCTCCATGAAGTATTTTGAAGAAGGCGAAGGGATGTTGGGCATGACTTTTAAAACTGAGATTTCTGATCTCCAAAGATTTCTTAAAATGTATTCACATGGAAAGAGCTGAGTTGCCAAGGATACAAAGAAGAGACACACTTGATGATGTTTAAGCGCTCCCACCAGACCAATAATGGCTACTGCAAATAGGAAGATTCCGCAGGCAATGATCCCGCCCACGATGTACATGCTAGAGACGTAGGCAGCGCTCTTAGCAACTGGTGGAACAATGATCAGGATCAAAGCTACAATCTGATAGAAAGATAAGGAAAGAAAACAAACAAAAAGTGATTCATAGCATGTCATAGACTGGCTCTCCCTGAGAATTTATCATCCTGACTTTTAGCTCAGAGAAGGTTTACATACAGTTAACAACGCTGAACTCCTGAAACATTTTTCTGGAAGTGTAAATGCAATGAAATCTTCCCCACACTATCTTATACATGTGCTTCAGGTTTCTAAGGGAATCAAATTTTTTCTGTTGTAAAACTGACAAGGATATACATATCTGCTAAAATTCTTAATAATTCTCAAATATATTTCAGCATTTTTTAAAGAATTTGGGAGGGTCTGGTTTTATGTTTCTTCCACAGTAACACTGACCAAGCTAGGATAGTCAATATTCCTAGCTGAGAAAACATGTAAATCTCCGTTTCTGGTTTATGCATATGCATGTACAAGAGTAAGGCAGTATGGAATTTGACTATTCTGCCAAGACATAAATTATGCGAGATTAAAGACCTCTGTGTAAATTATTTCAAAAGAAAGGTGTGGATTTCTTTTGAACTCACAAAAAATGCAAAACCAAAATTACATTTATTCTTATCATTTTACTAACGTACAGTACAAAAAAGAATAAGTGTTTAAAAGTTAAACAACCATAAAAAAAGGAGTTTTTCAAAAGCTCTACTAGGTAAAAAATTAATGTACGGGCAAATTCAAGACCATGCATGTGCCTGTCACAATGTTATTTCTGTTTATTATATAAACCACAATCTATCAAAGTAAGAGCAATTTTAACTATCCAATTATCCAGCTTCAGGATTTGGATCAATAATGTACTTAGTACTCACACAAATGGTGCTAGATATTGCTACATGTAGGTAGTATTGTCAGAGAGGTCTTGAGTTATGGCATGATGTTGTGGTGAGACTGCTCATCTTGTCAATGGTCAATGATCAACCAACATATGGGTGTTGCATAGCAGGGAAGCGATAGATTGGTGTGCAGCGCCGTACAAGTGTTTCATATGAACACTCACAATGTGCACTGACATGAACGATATGAGTAGATGTCTTGCCAAGCACAGCCTCCAAATTATTTACATCTCCTTGATCATTTCCATCTGGAGTAATCCCAGTTATCTGGACAATTTCACAGTGATATCAAATGTAATCCCAATCCTGATACCCTGGAGTTTGACTGTGAGCAGTGTTTGTCTTTTACGTGTACCTGGTTCACTCAGAATGAGCTTCAAATTCAACACTTTATGCTTGCATCTACTGTACGGTATAAAAAAAAATCGTCACATCATACATGTATGCGTTCTCCTCAAATTTAAAACCCTAACCCCCCAGAGTGTATGTAAAATTGTATTGAAATTGGAGGATTTGGGACTCTTAGGGTTAATTCATACAGCAGAGTAATGCCTCATTCTTTGAATTGGTAAAAATAAGCCAAAATCTAAACAGGTCCCGGTAGCACACATGTATGCATGGAGTAGGGCACATGTGCATTTAGGTGTACATGTAACACAGAATGGACTAACCATACAGTCAACTACTGTGGAATGGGGGAATTGGATTTGGGCTTATTTGAAACCCTCCTATGCAAAGATACCTTAATGACACAGTTGTCATATCCGTCAAAATCAGTCAAATTCCCCATATGTGTCTGTGTACTGGGGGAAATCAAGGGGAAGGCATTTTTGACTGTTTTTGACGGTTACAGCAGAAGGAAGGTTTTAAGGTGCAGTGCTCAGGGTGACTTACACGTAACCATATGAGTCATTTCTAAATTTGTTACTGCATTAGAGATCTCAAAGTGCAAAGTTCAGCTTCACCGATCACTAATCGCGCAATCATCAGTAAAAAAAAAGAAAATACCCGGAGAGTTTGTCCTCTGACATTTTCAAATCTTTGCTAAAAATTCATCAATTTTTCATTACAGCTCTTGACAAAGATTGAAACTGTACGCAAACCATCCAAGCACATCATTTCAAGACACGTACATGTAGCAATCATTAATCAATCTAACATTAGAATAATAACCACGTCTTCTAAACAACAAGATGGCCACTGGCTCCAAGCAATAGAAATGCCTGATAGATTAGCTTACAGGAGGCTGGATAAACCGCCAAGCATTCGCCATGTAAATCATCTAGTGCTCCCAGGCTAAATTGACATCGCCTCACTGCCCTGGATTTCCAAACACTCAAGAATCCACGTTTCAAAAATCTAATAAAGTAAAATTCCTTGGAGCAATTTTTGAGGAGAATTGTTTTCCGTTAACCTACCTGTACACATGTGAAGAATTGATTCGCAATAGCAACAAACATCTATATTAAGTAAGTACAATTCTGGTTTAGAATTTAAAGAAAGTCGACAATCAAAATGTTCATTCTGATCGATGCAGCCCGTATTTTACACGACAAATCTATGGTACATATATTTTTTGTATTGTAAATACTGTATAGAAGTACATGTATAATATACACGTATGTTGATATACGCCTTACAGGGTACCAGTTCATGACCTTCTCACTTGATTTGTGTACATTTCAATGTGTGCATAGAACAGATGGTGGAGAACTGAGATACATGACATGTACAAACTTGTGACAGAACATTGAACATTTCTGAAGGATTCTCTTCACCAGTAGATTTTACATCAACTTCATATTTTTGCTGGAAATGAGGCTTGACCTTCCCAAATCTGCAAGCACATGATCAATCATAATAAACCCACTGTGCATTTGTGTCCATACACACAGCACATGCAGCAGGCAGTCTGTTAACCATGCTCAATGCTGTACTGTCGCTATTACAGAAATAACGAGTGTCATACTTCAAATGTGTTTCATATCATGCGAGTCAGTGTACCGGCACAGCCAATCTTATAGCTCCCACCCGGAGTATCTCCAAAGACCTACAATGTATGCTTTCATTTACAAGTACTGAATGTCCAACTCATGAGGAATACCAAAATATGTCACACACATCTACATCTACATCCACATGTAGGTATGCTAAAACACTGAAAAAATGAAATACAATCAGAGTAACCCTTTATTTGCATGAAAAGGTTTTCACCAAAAAAAAATGTCAAAAAGGAAGAATTTTAGTAAACGTTCTACCTTCCCCTTCCCACAGGACATCAAAGAGTCTACCATCAATTATGAAGTAGATACATGTACATGTTCGGAGTAAATACCAGCAAAATGTCTGTCTTAGTGATCAATTAGCTAATGGATTTCTAAATTACATAGATAAAAATACCTCAGGATGTAGGCAGTGCTAATGTAGCACATAGGCTTGCATGTAACTGAAACAATTGTATAACAAGGCAAGTACATGTAAGCACAGTACAATTAGCTTCAATTAGCTTCCTGTCTTGACTAGAGACAGTTGAGCAAGCTATTTTGTTGATATTTTATCCTTTTTTCATTGGATGTTTTTGTGCTGTTTCACAAAACAGCATGAACCAGAGAGTTTATGTGTACTTGTACATGTGTACAATACACTACATGTATATTAGTCATGAAATGATCTCGATCAATTATCATAATTACCAGTATTGCAAAATCCCACAATCCATATGTTCCCTACATACAATGGTTCAACCACGTGTCAATGACAATACAACCTCAGATGAGCAGTAAATTGTATGCAAGTGCTAAAGGTCACCAGTAATGGTATAAATTACATGTACATGGTGTATGGTGCATTACCAATAAACTGTGTACTATGATGTCATCTGCTGATTGGAATTAGACTTGTCACAGTCCTTTGAACAATGCTATCCAACAAACCATGGCAATAAAATACATGTTACTCAATGGAAAATGTTTCACAAATGGAAAGGAAATATTCTTTGCATCCGGGGTTGTATGAAAGCAGTAATGGTTATCAGGATTTCTTTGCTTAGCAGCTAAATTTGGTGGATCTTGAATTAAAAAAAAACATTTACGCTGAGAAGTGATTTGGACAAGCTTATCAGCAATCAAAGGTCTTCGTGGGCTACTGCATGACATAAAAGTACATCTGAATATGTTGCAAATCATAAATTATGGTACGCACTGAGGGTGACAAACTTCATTTGACAATGAGTTCACTCTAATGTTGAATCAACCATCCGGGATGCATGCAATGTGCAAGACCAGACTTGCACATTGTACCTGAAGAATTAAATTTTTTTCCAGGAAATGGTGAGATCATAAAGAGGTAAAGCATTGGTTTTGAAATCCAAAACCAGTTTCATAGTCCAGGACGGAAAGCATCAGCTTTCAGTTAATAAAAGATATAAAACATGAGCAGTGCATGGACCATAAATGTGCACATATAAAAACAGTTCTGTGTTATGAATGTGCAGGCCTACCAGTAACTCAACACATGTGCAATGTCATGGGCTTATACATGCACATGTAGTTTTATTACACAGAACAAAGGGCATGCACACTATACAGGGTGACCCCAAAAATATGTAATCCAAAAATAATATTTATTTTCTCCCAAACTGATTGTCAGAAATCATTGTTTTCCATTTCAAATCAAAGCTTGGGATGATATCTTGTCAACACTGAAGACTTCATGTACATGTAAATCTGATGATATGTTGCAGAGATGTTACGTAACTCAACTCATTTTGGATGTTTAGACAGTTTTACCTCGCAAGTACAAGGAGTCATTGAATACAAATCCTGAACACTCACACAACTGTTTGGACTCCTGATTTCTTTTCAACTTCTTTCTAGCTCTAAACTTGATGTTTACCTATTTAATAACTGCATGTAGCAACTGAAGAAGCCGAAGTAACATTAATACTATTAATCCCGATCATAAACTTTTCTGATAACCTTTTTCTTCAATGAAAGGGTTGACCGGGGTTTACAGTGTTATCAAAAACAGAATTGCGCACTAATTTGTGGTGACTGACAAACTTAACAGCCTGGAAAACTGCATTAACGGTTCATGTATGTACTTTGTTTCATGGATTTCAGTTTGTTACTGTTAGTGAATGTATACCGTACTGTACCTGGTAACTTCCATATAATATTATGTTCACATGCAGACAGCATGGGCTACTGTTTGAATAAAGAGAACATGGCATTGTGCAAAGGTTGGTCTAACAGGAAAATAGGCAATTTGCATATGTATGAATCATAGCTTTAATGGCAAAGAATCATCCAAGAAAGACACATAGCTGAAAAAAAATTAATGTCAATGTAACTCTTTTCTTATAAGGTTTATTCTATAAATTTGGGGTCCAATGTATTTTTTCATCCATTATGCCTGACATATACATGTATGCTTTGATAAAGGATATACCATTATCAAGTGATTTCAAGTTACGTTTATACTTTTGTTTGGCGGGTACTTTGCAGTACTTATTAAATCTTGGCGTTACAAAATGAGTTTTAACATTAAAAAATCATATGCCAGATGTAAATGGGACAGGAAAAAACTGAACCCTAAACTTACAGAATGACCCATAATCTTGTGATGTGATTCCTACATTGTATTTTGAAAGAGCAGACCATACATTCCCAGTTGAATTAATTTGAGGGAGTAAATGAAAGCCACACTGGTAATGTGTCCACGGTGAGTCAAACTCCGGTGATCATACACAGGCTACTGGCCAAGTCAATTTCTACTGCTGGGCACAAATGTGTTGCTTTGAAAGCCGGCTCCTACTCTCAATCGACCAGTGGTGCAGAATCTGAAGACTAATTGAATTCAGGAAGTCCTGTTTATTTGATTGGGGGAGGGGAGCTTAGTGTGAGGGCTTAATCCTATTCCGACCTGACCTTTAACCAGTCATAGGAAAATGTGAAGAGTTCCACATTTGGAACCAGGGAGGCTAAGTGTTCACTTACAAATACTCCTTCTCATATTGATTGTAATCTTAACACACTCAATGATGATGTCCAATCAGTCATAGGAAAAGAAAGCATGTCTTTTGTGGGGATGACTGAGGAAAAGAAGCTTGTGAAAGCAAGGACTGACATTTTGAAATGAACAGAAAATGTTTCAACAAAAGAATGAACAATATTTCAAATTGAATACTGAACTCTTTAATATGAAAAGTATGCTTTACTGTACTGGGAACAAGAAAAATGTTTACCGTACTCAACTATCTTGAGACGCTAAACCCCTCATGTACGTGTATTGAGTGTGATCGCTCGATCTTTGCGAGATCAGTTGATCCATGGAGGTAGGAAAAGATACTTCACACTTTGTTCATAATTCCACCATCAGCCAATCGCCTTCAAATTTTTTTGTGTTTATAAATTTACGGTTGTGAAAGACTCTTTCAAAAAAAGGGAAGTAAAATTGGAGAATTTATGCAGAGTCAAACAATTGCGCAGAGAGATCTAGCAATACTGCACCCAATACATGCATAGTTACCGTGACTGGGTTCCACGACCTCATTCCTAAAAAAATTACAAAACCTTGCAGGGAATTTTGAAGGATTTTGCAAAGTGAGGGTTGAGTTCACTTTAAAAAATTTGTTACTTGGGCTCGCTTGTTGTTTATGAAGTTAACATTGAATTAGAACCAAATTTTATCATGTCTTTGAGACAACACAAAGACAAACTTTAACCTCAGCCTAAATTGTACCCAAGTATCCCGTACTTTGTACATGTACCGATACATTTAGAACTAGATTTGCACAGCAGTAATGTACGTATATGTAATACACTCCAACAATTATTTGACGTGTACACCTGAATGCCTAGCAATGCATGTGTATCATGAAAGAAACAGAAGTGCTCCAAGAACAAGTTGTGCATTCTGATGTGTGACATTTAACTAATTTTATTATTGGCTGAAGACCATGTCAAGACAACAGAGCAACGATCAATTGCTCAAACATCAGTGAACAGGAAAAACTAATCATCATTGAATAAACAACCAAATTTTGGCACAACATCAAAATGCGGCCACTTTAGTTTTTCTTTCATGCTCACCATGAATTTTCCTGGGAAAGAGTTCCATTTACGGATGCCGCTTGACACCCTATACACAAACCCTATGAGTACGAGACTGGTATGAACAATTGCAAGTGTTTTCTAAGTAAACGACTTCACGGACCTATTTTCCCTCCTGTTTTTGCTGTCTGATGGCTAATACTTGCAAGTAGAGGTCACTGTAGGAAATAATGACTGGCGTCTATCTATGGAACTCTTCCCTCCGGTGTTATGTGGATATGAACATGATAAATGAATGTGCCCGTCTGGTTATGATAACCAGATAACGAAGAGTCCATGTTATGACATGCAACTTTGAATGTGCCACCATGATGTAGCCACAGCCACGGGTAGGAATCGAGATATAAATACAATCACACGTAAGCCCAACCACTGTGGTTGTAATGTATTGTGTAAGTCCAATGTAATATCAGACTTGCGTTGCAGCCGTTCATAGGTATTACAAATATATTAACAGTAAAAACACCAGCAACTTGTGTGTACTGCGATAGTAGAGCGGCTTCAAACTTTCAGCATTCGTGGTTTGTGATCTGTGGGTTGTGGGGTTCGAATCCTGTATCACTTTTTTTGTGTGGAAACTGTGGACAGGAGAATTTTTTTCAGGAAAAGAAAGCCTGAATATTACATGTATACACCGATAATAGGAGCCTTATGGTTGAGAAGCATCACACGTGAAGTTTTTATGGTTGGTTGAGCCCACAAATGTGTGCATGGTGGTGAACGGTGGTTTGGCTGGCTTCATACGTGTGATTGCATAAACATGTACAGTACATGTAGTTCCTTGCTCCGGGAACGACGAAAATAAATTGGAGATCGGGCTAGCTACTTACGATATAAAGACTGTTCAGCGCTATTAGCGCATTTCTGCTGCATGTAAATCCCCCACACATCTTGACCACTCTTTGAAGTTGCCCAACTGCTGCAAATGAAAGTTTTCCTGCGATTCTTCGCCGAGGAAATAGGTCTAGACTAGAGATCTTTCCCTCATCAGTGACCGTCCACCATCATGATCATCTCCACGTTGATGAAATTCAATGACCAGACCTGGCCGCAAGGTGGCTCACTTCACGGTTCCCCATTCGTGCGGCATTGTAAACAATGTTTTCTAATACTAAATTACATCCACGATCTTTAATGTTAAAATTTCATACTATCCTTTGCTGTCGGCATTTGTATCATAGGTCTTCACAAAAACTGGGATGAATTTCTCACAAAATAGCTTCAAATTCTGATGCTTTGTACTTGATAAATAATTGTTCTGGCCTCTAACCGGCTGAAAATTGGCAATCGTTAGTTTCAGAATGCTATTCAAGGAAATTACTTGCCAACAATATTTTCAGTCTCACTGACAAATGCCCAACCGTAAGCCTCTCCTGGCAAAACAACAGTAAAGCAAACTATTTGAAAGATCTGTTAAAAACAGAAATTTCAAAATACCGACTTGTTTGAAACCTTGGATTCACATATGATACTCTGAACACAAAATGAGTTTTCAACTTCAACATTCTTTTATTGAAAGCCCTGATGCACAAATGAAACTTTATTTTACATAGAGTTGTAAACAAATGACAATTGCACACAATAGTGTCTGTAACTATGTCTACTGACAGAAACATACTAACATGAAAAGTACTAAAACCAACAAAACATTATTCAACAGTGACATAGATTATAATCAGGAAACATTAACATTTCTAACACCTTTTTTGTTGTCTAAAATGAGATAACAAAAGAGTTTCATGTAAATTTCTTTCTTTTTCAAGGGATCAACTGTTCAATTTTGGCAGTACATGTATCTTAAATCTTTTTTCTTCTTTGTACAGAGTTGTCAATGTACTAGGTTTATAAAACTAACATCAATGTTAAGCAGGAAATCACTTTCTTTGCCTCATATTTTATTTCTGGGTCTGTCATTAAGAAATTCTTGAATATATACAAGATCTAGTATTTTTGGTACAAACATGGCTGCATGTCTATCTGGATTGAAACTGTATACTGGCAAGTTTTCTTTGAAGAATTCGCCACTCTGAACTCCAATCAACTGCATTTAAGCGCATTTGGCAATTAAATATTACAAAAAACTCCAAGTTAAAACAATTATGCCTTTGCCTATCCTTATGTTAATATAAACACTTTCATAAAAATCTGCATTGAAATGAGTGGTATATACAAATTCTAAAGAAGATGCAAATGTTCCTTTCAAATTATCTTTGGCAGTAACAATGCAATTTAAAACATGCTGGGGATAACTACACTCTAACAACCGTGAACACAACTTTACATATTTTTGCAATATTAATTGTTGCTATTACTGATGACTTTCTTAAATCTGACCTGATAACAAGTCAAGCCTTCCACAGAAGATCTCTTGCCACGTCAACATTTGGTTTAATGGTGTTCTAGGCCAAATTGAAAGCAAGAGAGATAGCAAGCCAACATGTAACAGAATTTGCTAGAACCAAGGATGTGGCATGCTCTGAGAAGTCTTGGATAAAAACCTTGAAAGTTGGCAGCTTTTATCTCAGGCAGAGAGAATTTACCGAGCAACGGGTAGTTTAAACATCAGGCACAGCTCCCAGCTCTGTTAAAGAGCCAGATATATGATTGGTTGATCGACTCTTCGCAGTGCATCTCTATGATCTCTCAGTATATAATATATACATACATATAATGATGAAGCTACCTAGGTTACACTGCTAATCTTGTCTAGCGCCCTCTTGCAGCTGACAACCTGAAAAATGTTTAGTTCTCCCACAATGCAGAGCTGTATGCCCTTTTCAACTCCAACAGGCAGAAACTAACCGTGCAATTTAGCGCTCAGAGTGTTAATTTTTCCCCGGGAAAATCCTGGGATGAAAACACTGTAAAAACAAACTAAAAATAGCTTTGAATTCTTTATACTTGGATGTGAACTTCTTTACATTGCACAAAGGGGATACAAAAACACTATAAATAAAGTATTTCTGAAAAATAAAACAATTTATACGACCAATATAATACAATCAAATATATAAAATTCAACAAAACTGCATAAAGACAGGTTTCCCTACCCTGTTCAACACTTTAAACATTGCAAAGCTGGGCACAACACAAATCAAATAAGATCTGAACAAATCTGCAAGTAAACTTGGCACAGGAAATGATAGTCCACTATGCTTACATTAAACTACATGCACCTACACTGAAACAGATTTTAACAGTTTTGTTCAACTGGCCTTAGATAAGCTCCAACTTTACAACTGTCCCTAATGTTTTTTCCACAGCCGATATTTATTTTCCACAGTTGATGGTGATTACATTGCAGGTTATGATCATGTAAGGACCATTCATAGATCGATTTTGACCTGTTGATTATAGTGTTATTTACATTACATAAATGATGCATCAATCTCAACAGAGAGGGATCTGTTTTTGTGAAGGCTCTCAGAAAACACTGGACAGTATATATTGGAAGTTCCTCAGAGCGCAAAGTTCGATCACAGAAACAAACGAAATGCCAAACCTTTTGTCCAAAAGGTATGACTGGTAAAATTTCACCAACCAAACTAATTATTGGTAGTAAATTATTCCCTTGTAAAATGCACATCCACCAATTCCTTCATCACATCCTTCATTCTGGCTTCATGAAGCTGAGAACTGCTTTCCAAACCACACATCGCCTCTTCCATCTTTTCAAAACCTCCTGGCAGGGCATGTTGCCAGCGATATTCATATTCCCTTGGCCTTCTCAGCTGAAGAGAAGAAGGGTCATTCAATTTAATATATCGTGTCCAAATCCGAGAACTGGCTGTCGACGATACCACCATGCTAGCAAGATGCCTCCAAGCTGTGAACAGGACAGGGGAAAAAAAAACAACAGATGAAACTACATGTAGGTTCTCCCAAGAGACAGAAAGTATCAAATCTGGCGTCTCTAATGCAGAGTCACGGTGACACAGAAGACAAACATTGCCAAAGGAGTTTTAGTTATTCAACTCAAGCTCTTTTGCTCGATAGTTTTCTGTTTCCTGGCAACACAAGTTTGTGACAGGTTTTTTGCCAATTGAGCAATTTCATCAAACTATTCTTCATATGTACATGTACCAGCTCAAAATCAAGTGCATCAAAAGAGGTTGTAAAAGAAGTACAAAATTTCAAGACAACTAAAAAACACTGGAATTGCATTCATTAAAATCTGTCTAGGAATTTCCCCTGACTAGTACCGCTCTATACACCTGTCTTCATGTCTTCCCTTCAAGGATAAAAAAGACTAAAGAATACACCTTAGGTTTTTTTAAGGGATAAGTGAAACATACTCAAAAAAGGGTCTTCACTGACTTATTCCAGCTGAAATCCTCCCCATCAAAACAAACTGAAATTACGTAAAATATAAACATGACAAACTTTATTTTAAACATTTTACAATTTATACTCACTCTGGTTAAGTTCAATTTCCTCTACATGTATGAGATTCATGCTTCTTATTTTAGGTAACCTTTCACAGATTGAAATTGTTTATTAACTTGAGCTCAATGGATCAATTAACCTCTTTTTTGTAGTCACTGCATAATCACATGGTCCACAAATTGTTCAACTCTGCTGCCTTGTCAGAATTCCAAACATTCTTTAAATACTTCATGTTTGTATTTTGACTGCAACAATCTGTGACTAGCAAACTGCAGAGAGAAACCAAGTGGGGAAAAACCTGATTGAGGTTTTAAAAATTCATGTTCATATTAAGAAATCTTCCAGCTCAAAGAAATATCCATCGCCTTCCATCCATCCAAATTCCCCCAGTGAGGTAAACAAGAAACAAACAACCAATTCCAAGCTCAGTTTGTAGAGGGGGTTTGACGGATTCAACTCAATTACACTTTTGAAACCCCAGCGGGTCGCCCTCAAATTTCATTTCTTATCTATTCAAGGTGAGTAATCCTCCTTGTGGCAAAATAAAAGCTGCTGGCAATAATAAATTTGAGCCAGGCCCTAGCTTCAGCTGGGAAATAATTTAGATTGGCAACAACATGCCTGGCAGACACACAATAATACCTTAGATTGCCTGGGTCTCAGGAAACAACCCAGATTTTCTTTCTCATCTGTAATCATCGAAAATCTGACAGGTTTCCGGGTGTGCACCCAATACACAGCAATTTCACTCTTAACACAGTCCAATCAATACACATTTCAAGGGAAGTTTTATCATGTTGATTTAACAAGATCAACAAGTCAACACTGATTTTTTTTTGTTTATTTCAAAAGTGCATTTCTGTCTTTTTAATTACGCTTGGTATTTGCTCGTATATAGATAATTTTGACTTAGATTTTAAGTATGTGGAGCAAAAATGTGTCAAACTTGACCAAATTTAGGGAATTATTCAATAATTAAAGGATCACATTTGATTTGAAGCTGCTGCAGTTTATGATCAGAAAAATCATTAAAGTTTAAGGATCTATGACAGATTTTAAAAGTATAGAATAAAAGAAAGGGACTGTGGAAAAAATGAGACTCCTATTTTGGAATTCCAAAGGTCAAGTACAAATTTCCCATTTTGTATGATGCTAACAAAACAAATTACTCTCGGTATCAATTTTCTTGTGGGCAATCAAAGCCCGATAAACAGAGACTTTGATCAGCATGGCTTACTCGGAAAAGGGAGTCTGATTACAGCGTATCTCGGAGGATTGGGAATAGAACCAGCCAGAGTGATTGGGTTAAAAAACAGCCTGCAAAAATGTTATGGGTGGGCACTTCAAGGTATCAATCATTTCCTGCTACAGTCTAATGAACTGAAGCAAACAAGGGGGGTCAAGAAAGGGGCATCAAATTAATGGAGGCTGTAGAGGGTACAGGTGCATTTTTAGGGTAACAGTAAAAATTAACCAGTTTCCCCTATAATTCAGGGATAATCTTGGAAATTTCAAAATAACGCATTGTGTTAATTTTGATAAGCAAACGTTTTGATCCTTTTTTTTAAGAAAACACAAGTTCAAACTGGGACAGATTTACCATTCTGTCTTTGTGCCAATGTTTCCTTGACTGAATTCTGGAAAAAAAAGGTACGTTCTACTCGTGAAAATGACTTTTTCAAATAGCATTTTTTTACAATTTTAATATTGCGGGGTTCATTTCCTACTTTGCTGAGAAAAGAAAAAGGTTTGTGCATCTTTTTAAGTATGAGCCTTCACAATATATGAACAAACTCCAAATGTAATGACAAAAATAACAAACATATGAAAATCTAAGCACATTTCTGTCTGAAAATGTGTAATTAATAACCATAACCTGAGGAATACGTGAAAAAAAAGCCATAACTGCAGTTGATAGATCAATCTTGTTTTCAAGGGAAGACGTAAGAACAGGGGCAGATAGAGAGTCTTCAATCATTACAATATCACACAGGAGATTCTGAAAGTTCAGTTAGAGATATCCAACAATGAACCGTACCTGTAAAAATGTAAACAATAGCCCCATCCCTCCGGTAAATTGGAAGGCGTGCTGCAATCGGTTGTCAAGAATAGACATGCAAAGGGGGCAACCGGTACAGTTGTGGGTGGTTAGTATACAGCAAGGTAGCTGGGAAGAATAGAGAAGATAAAAGAAGACAAAGTTCAGTAAAATGGAGATAGAATTCAAACCAGACATACAACATTGGTGAAGATGAATTGTTATGGATCATTGTCACATCTGACATATAATTGTGGAAGTTTACAACACATTCTTCAATTTTTGAGAGTGATTCAGTGATGCAAATTAGCAGTGCAACAAAAAGCAATATTCTGAAGTAAATTCAATGATACTTCCAAATCAAATTACGCAGGTCAACTGTAACAGGAACACAAAAATTTCACACCTCTGGGAGCCAAAATTTATAGAATAAACCTGACCATTTTCCAGGCTACAAAATGTGCATGATTAGTATTTTGGCTGTGGTAACGTAGGTTCAAGTTTGCAAACTTTTGGCCAGCTAGGTTGTAGCTTGCAACCACTTACATGCCCCCGAGTCTGTGACAGTCGGTGTGTATTTAATCATATCAAAATGATTCTAGACATTCCCCCCCCCCAACCGCAGTAGCGTGGCGACATTCATGCATTCATTACTTAAATATCAATGCATTTTCTTAAGTTGTACCTGTACTGCATTGTTGATCGTATTTATGGCAACAGCAAATTGCAAATTTCCGATTATTATTATTAACAAAAACCATTTCATCGCACCTTCAGCTCTTCACACCTGCTGTAAATCACATGCTTTGAATCTAAGCCACAGCATCCAAAGGTGCTCTGCACCTGTTGCCGGGTATCATTACTAGCCTCCTCCCAGCCACTCAGTAAGACCTCAGTCCTGCGGGCTTTATTAAAGGCTGACAGACAGGCTATGGCTACGCAGAACTGGATGAAGCCTATGAAAGACATGAAGACTAGATACTGGAGGAAGGGCTAAGGAAAGTCAAATGTTTGGCAATATTGGTTTTTTTTCTCTTGCACTGGAAGACTGGGGACCCCATACATAATTACATATATGCCTAACATAAAAAAGAATGTTGGCTATGCATTAATTCAATGCAATTCTTCTCATTTGATGTAACCACACTCAGCAAATACCATGGAGCTCACACCTTCATGTTTCTTTTTGCCTTCTGTTTTCCTTCGATGTATTAGTGTATATCTGCCTACCATATTTAAAAAAAATATATCAATTACCACTAAAATGAAATAAAATAACAACAACAAAAAAATCACTGCCTTCTACCTTTTTGAGGGATAAGGCAATTTCCGTTTGATCAAGAGAAGTTGCTTTAAGAAAATTCATTTGTCTGAGAGAAGCTTTGGGGCATTAGGACACAAACACCATGCTCGCAGCATCCAGTGCCTTAGGCTGTCTCAATCTCTATCAACAAGGTTTGGGTTTGAATCACATGGAAATGCATCTCATCCTGTCGGCATTTCCACTTCAGGCTTCTTGAAAGTACAACCATGTTCAAGTAAGCGGGTATAGGCACAGCAGCAAGCCAAAGGCTCGATTCTCAAATAATGTACATTCTTCATCTCCGAGTTTAGAATAACAATACTGAAAATGTGAACGTTTTAATGAAGTTTACAATAGTTATACATTCAACTACCATTTTGAAGATTTGGAAATCATTTATTTTTCCGGTAACTGTTTAGTTTTTATGTAGCAGTGAGAATTATTTAATAAGTGATAAATTGCAAAGTGAGACCACTCTTTTTAAAATGTAATCACTTTTTAGTGGAATACAGTGATAAAAGTACCATTGTACATATAATTGTAATTTTTGGATTTTCTTAATTAACATTGGCCGAAAATGTACTTTACCAGGGATATCTGGAAATCAAAGAAATGATGTATATGGACACAAGTGTAATGAATCCACTTCAACACATTGCTGTTATCTGTGCAACTGTGATGGCATACTGAACAGGCACAAGTCAGAACAAAAGAATTGTTGACAAGGCTTTGCCAAGGAGCAGCAGAGCTTGGAAAATGAGCTCCCTGTCAGAATATTCAAATCGCTTCGCTGAACAGAAAAACAACGAATCGATAGTTCTATGTGTGGGATTGTCAAGCCAGGAAGAAAATGAAGTGTCTGATCAATAAATGACATCAAATGCTCGAAAATATGTCCCCAAACGTAGCTGAATCACTTCATGAGGAATGTCAATTATCTTCAAATCCATTTTTTATGTTACAAAGGCATGTAAGAGGTGAGACCACGGCATCAATATTTCCTGAAGCAAAAACAGCTGTACCCGAGGCCAAAACAGTAATATAAACATGTACATGTAGCAAGTGGTTTCGAGGTTTTGGAAATTTAACATTGTCCATCACAGGTACATGTACGTGGGACAAAGATACATGTATCTTGCAAGCAAAATCTGGTATGTGCCACAAATCCCTTTAAACTGTATCATTTGGGTATAAAAACCAAATTGAGTCTATCTGAACATACGTTTATTCTACGCAGGACTGGGGGTGCACTTCAGCTCGGGGTGGATAGTGGGAAAGGGCAGGAATGACTGCTTTGCTCAAAATATTTAAATGCATTATGGTGTTTTTTCTCTTGCAATGGAAGACTGGAGACTTCATACCAAATTACACCTGACATAAAAGAGAACTTTGGTTATGTATTAATTCAATAGATGTGGGACAAAGATATATATATTGCAGGCAAAATCTGGTGTGTGCCACAAATCCCTAAACTGTATCATTTGGGTATAAAAACCAAGTCCATTTGAACATACATACTGGCATTGGTGTGTTCACATGCAGGATTTGAAATGCTTGTTTAAGTCCACTTTTCTCTCAGTCAGTGATCTTCAGCCATCACTAATGTGTTACCATGGCAACATATCCAATGCAAGGTTTGTTTTCGACAGGGCACCTTACCAAGCTACAGGGCTCCTTCCCGAGCCATTTTTTATGCTAACGTGTCCTGGGATTTTGATGTCTTCTAGAGACTGTTAGCTTCCCACCACACACACACACCCACGAAATGACTGGAAAACACTCAGAGATCATGGGCCCTTTTTTGCTAAACAAAACCTTTCTTAAGTTCCTATTCAGGTAAATTCGGTTCTTGGTTTGATGTACTTTGTTCAAAAAGGGATACAAGAAATATGAGTGCTTGGTTGGCCATGACGACACCGATCATGCCCAGTAGGGCCACAATGAAGAGGAAGATTCCCATAGCCGCCAGTCCCCCGACAACGGGCGTAGTCAGAAGAAGAGTAGCTTGCATGGCTATAGCACTGATGCAGATTAAGATGATGCCAAGAATCTAGAAAGAGAAAACAGGAGGAAAAAAAACAAAAAATACAGAGACAAATGAAGAAAGAGACATCATTACGGGGTAAACCCAAGGGGAAGTCGAACATGTTTACTTTTAATCAATTCCAGTTGAAAGAAGGAAATTAGCTGAAATGAAAGGAAGGAGAAAACACATGTATGCCTCTCTATAGTGCATTTCCATGACAACTCAATTTCTTTTTTGAGGCCAGTCTTCATCCATTCTGAGGTAATTACAAATGTCTATGCAATCAGATCAGACGTCTTCTCTCTGTCATCTCTTTTTCTTTGTGTCTTTCTTTTTCCGATGTAGAACTTTGAAAAACGTGTATATATGTACAGGATTTATCAGCCAATGGACTCAATTAATTCTGCTTTTGATCTTTGTCTCACTGAGGCATGCACTTTTTCCAGACCCTGAAGGGATTACAGGATGCTGTCTATCAGCATGTGGGTTTGTGACTTACAAGATTACTGGCCAAGACCCCATGCTCCTCTTATCTGCGTATGTCTTGTCCCCTTCATGTCACTGATGATCCACCTACATTTTACCTCTTGTTTGGTGATGTGTCTGTTGGTCAGCCTGTCTATTTCTACACAACTGTCTCAGGATAATAATAAGTCTTCATCTTCCTTTTTCTACAGCATCTTTGAATGTATCAGTAATTTTGATTTCCTTACAATCCAACAAATCATCTTCAATAATTGACATACAAATCCTTTAATAGAAAAAGTAATTTAACTTTTTGAATTGTCTTCCTTCAAAATGGTTAAAAAAAGCCTCATAATGTCATGTTTTAACAGGAGGCGAAAGCAGGCAGAATGTAAATATTCAGCGGAACATGCATGTAAATATTATGAGCAGTTTATGGTTCCATCCTGAGTTTGGGAACACACACCTGATAGAATATGAAGAAGAAAACAAATTTACGTCAACGGGAATCTTTTTGCAATCTGCCACGGATTGCTGCTCCCAGTGAGTGATGACAGCTGTGGCAGATTACTGCCGGGTTTGTTAATGGGCACTAGAATCTGTCAGACATTGGGCTCTGTGTAATCAGCGCTCCCTGGTCAATTTGAGTGATGGAGGACAGGCCTATGACAGAACGCGCAGCACCACGCCGAGTTGATGTTGCTGGAGCTGAAGTCCGTTGTGGCTTTCAGAATTGTTTTCGCTTCAGGGCACTTACATATAACGTACATTCTCAGGGAAGCTCTTTCACTAGAAAATAAACCTTTTCACATTAACTCAACAAAGACAAATTCTGTCAAGCATTACAGACGTGACAAGGAAGATGAACAGCTACTGAAGTAAACCAAAACAATTCTGTATGCTGCACTTGTGCTTCTACGGATGTCCTCTGAATATCTTTACATCCCTTGTTCTAAAGAGAATTCATAGTAACATGGCAACACCTACTTTTTTTGTAATTTTCGGTCAATTTGTTTGTGGCCTACCTCATTACAAGGCTCTGTGAATGGCTTTTTTTACTCTGAAATTTCCCCAATGAGTTGTGATCCTTAAGCTCACTGCAGTCCCATTGTTTTGTTGAGGAAACATCTAATGTCTAAAATGAGGCTTAAATTTAGGGAAACTTTCATTTGGTTCTAAATGTTTAAAACTGATTATGGGGCTTATTATGAAGTTGAAGTTGCAAAGTGGACAAAGCAATGGTTATTTGAAGAATACCGAGTGTTTACCTTGGCAACCTCATTGTCTGAACCTTGAAAGTCTGTGGCACATACCTGTAGGTACTTCATGTTATTACAGTATGTGCCAAATGCATGTATGCAGATATTCTAACACAGTTGACACAAATTCTACATGTACTGTACACTGGGAGTTGCTCTAGCTACAGACCTTGGTAAACGGATGGAACTTTCACCAGTGAAAATGGATACTTCCACTGTTGTGACAATGTTTGTATGAATGCAATAGTAACTTGTTGCAAAAGCCAATTTATAATCCAAGTCTTAGTAATGTACAATGGTTGCAATGTACATGTATGTACGTGTATGTGTGTCTTAATTTGGGGGGGGGGCATGTCCTTAACTTTAATTGTCTGTCTTCTGATTCCTTAATTCTCTAACTTTATCTTATTGTCATAATTAATTAATTAATTAATTAATTAATTAATAGCAACACGAAACAAACAAAAATCATGTCATTTGGGCAAGTTTGATTACTAAAAGTCATGACTTCTACATCTGTACATGATTTCACATGCAATGGCTGCATTTCAATGCATTACCTGGGTGAAGCTATGAAAAGTGACAGTTCCTTGATCCTCAAGGTCAAGTGTATTATCCTCCTACATGTAAAGTACCAGTACAATGGAAAGCTAAACTCATTTCCCCGGATTCCTTAAAAGGATTTCGAACGAAGGTCGAGTAATTAAATCAAGCACACACACAAAAAAAACGACTTTCTGCATGGGACCAAAGCTTTGGATGAAATGGAACATGTAAGTGAGAGGGCACACATTTGCAAACTCCCGACAAGCGCTCTTGAAGATTTACTGCCCAAGGCTGTGGAAAGGATTGTTAAAGTAGAACAGGATGAAATGACATTCAGTGATTATCCAATAATGATGTATGGTCTCCTTTCTCTTGGTCAAAACCCAGGGGCCTACTTTTCCTATCAGATAAAAAGTATCTCTGGGGTACAATGATTCAAAATAAATCTTTTATTGATCATTGAGATAAATTTTACAGTTGAACAAGAGCATCTGTATCATCGCTCACTGGGGAACTTCTGCTGAGTCCAAAGCACGGTTTATCAAGAGTTTTCATGATTACGTACTGTAATACTGGTACATGTGGGTAATTCCAGAAATTAGGGATCCAAAAGTGTGACATTTGTGTGTCCTTGTTACATCTGACCTTTGTTCTTTGAAACGCCGGGAAATATCACCAGAATTGATTTCAAACTATTACTAGTTGTTTGGCAGGTAATTTGCATTAATTCACCACTCTTGGAAATTAGAAAAAGGTGTTCTGAACTTACAAAATCATATGTCAGATGTGACAGGGACACACAAAAAATAGACCCCTAATTTCTGGAATGACCCGTATACAAAAAGGGTACATGCACAAGCTAGACAACTGCTACAAGTTGTACGTGTAAAATACAAGTAACTGATTCAAGTTGAGCTGGGGAGGTGTCTCATCACTGGGATCTTTTTTAAAGCAAATCAATTGAAAATCATATTCATTTCAAATGAATTGAAACGACACAGTCTTAGCTAGTTTGTGCTTGCAGAAAATTCATTTATTGTATTAAATGTAAAATTTTTCATCCATGTCTAGAGAGTTACAGAAATTGTCCCTATTTTCAATAGAAATGTCCTTTTCAAACCAGCAATCTCAAATACCCAGATGATCATGTTAATTGATACCCTAATTTTCCCCTAAAAGCAAACAAGAACGTCCTGAGAAAACCTGCCGATACTGAGGCTGGTCATGTACACACATACAACCTGGCCCAGGGTGATAAGTCCAAGTGCTCATCAGTATTTCGTTGTGGCCAGTACCCAGCATCATCATGAGACAATGCCCCAGAGTGAGTCACCAATTGAGACCTGTGTATCCACTTCAGGCCTGATTTGTATGCAGTGGAGCGACTAATGCGAGACAGTGTGGCACAGGTGTAGGAAATTTCCTAATTTCACCCTGCCAAGTGTTAAAACAATGTACAAAATTGGGTCAAGGGATACAAATTGTAAGCTCTAACAATTTCTTTGCTGCACTGGGGGTATTGACAGGAAATACATTAAATTAATAATGAGAATGAAATATTTAAACTGTTCGTTTTAGGATAAGCATCAAAAATCAATCTTAAGAAGAGTGTGATGCAGCGTAAAAGCAGTTCAGCTAATGAAATCTCTCCCTGATCTTAAATAATGATGCCAAAGAAAAAATTTTTAAGATCAACATTTCAGTTGGGTGACTGACATGACTGAATTTGAAATAACGTTAACTCAATATAACACAATTAAAATACAATCTTCAGTTTTAACTTTATTGTTAAAAAATTAAGAAAGAAATTCCAACTGTAATGAATATTCTTTAGAAGTTAGCTGTTCTAAAAAATTAGATATTTTCAAACAAGAAAATTCTAGGCTTCTGTACTGGTAAATGTAAATGTGTATGTGTACATTGTGCATGAAGTGCATGCGTGCACAAATTCTAGGCCAATTAGTGTTGGGCCCTTTCACATTCAAGCAGACTGCTTCAGCCAATGTTGAACAACGTGTCAGTGAGGCCTACATGACTCATTAACAAGGCTTGCCAGCCTGTTGATCAATGATAGCATCTCTGAGTGGACGGCACCTTCCCCCCCCCCCCACTTTGCCAAAGGTCTGATCATAATTGCAACTTTGTTGCGCTCGAAGAATCAGGTTTAACCTGGCAATGGGACTAATCTAGCAGTCCTTGCAAATAAGGTCAGGAATATGTTGAAAGAGAATTATGCTGGATCGTATATGTACATGTACCGGTATGTACATGAAACACATGCACACACAGCTCATGGGTACACTTGGAAGCTCTCTATCAAAATCATCCTCACTACTTTTACAAATCCTGTCCCCTCCCAGTTTTTCAAGTTGGTCCCATCTTTATGATAGATAATAATTTTATTACAACTACAAATTTATTGAGCCTCCCACAACTGACAAACACAACTAAACAAATGCTTTATGAGCAAAAGTCTCCAATCCAAAACCTACAACAAAATGAAAATTATTTAAAATATTCACAACTGTTATCAAATTTGTAAGGGAAAAAATCTTTACTTGTGCTGCAACATTCTTGACGCTTTTCGGAGTGTGGCCAAAAAATAAAGGACGAAGCGCAGATGGACAAGATTTTTCAGTTTTTCCCCCAAATAAATAAGGCAGACCTAATCCAGGAAATCCGCATATTTCCCTGGTCAATAACAACTACCTTCATCATTTCTTTGGCACTTTAACTCAAATGGTAATAGCAAACGCTGCAATATATTTTGTTGTATTCAAGCAGCCCCTTAGGAAATGTCATTTCCCTCTTGATGCTTATAGTGCGGCATATGCCAAAATTGTTCGTGGAGAATACACCAACTTGCATCATATCATTTTGGGAGGTACTTCCAACTGCAACCAGCACTGATCAAGGGCCAGGAATTAATCAGCATGAATGATGATAAGATTGTGACGTTGCCAACACCGTATGAGTAATTCTGTCACGCAGCCAAGTGATAAATTACAGAATTTTGCATTTGGATTCCCCCAAGCACATCTGAAAGCAAACACATGTGGCTGACTGAAAGTAGCCAAGGTAAAAATTTGTAAATTCATAAAAGGGAATTTTATTACTGTTGTTGGGTGTTGTTAAATCAGAAGTTTAGAGAATAATAAGGCACAGGCAGATTATGGTCAGACTTGTACCGTTTCCTGGTACAAATATTTCCACTCCAAAGATTTAAAAATGTTTTCTATTTTTTTAAATGTATTTTTATATGACTTTGCCAAGAATAAATGATACAGTTGTCTTGGATCTACACGTATTTGTCCTAAATTTCAGAGTTACAGGTGCACGTGTATGCTACAGGTACCTGTGTACAAGCATCGTCACTTTTATCATCTTCATCACGCTGAACCATTGTCAAGAGTCAATTCATCACCATTAGAAGGCTTCAATCAATGTAAACACATCCACTGTAATTATCTGCAGGCTGACAATCACACTCCCAGAGAAAACATTACAGTGCCATTTATGAGCATGGTGAAAAAGTACAGAACCAACCTCTATGTGATGGGTTATCATGGGCTGGTAACAGAGCAATCTCCCTTGAGCACACCCCTGACTCAATCACACAGGTGTCTAGGTCAATCAATATACCCCCCATTATGCAGGGAATAATGCACTGCAATGATGCCTGCAGGCAGAAACCAGCCAGTGGAATCGTAACGAGACAGAATATGGGTTCAGTTGGAGCAGTTCCAGTCAAAATCATTCACGCTCACGTACATGTAGAGTATGTGGTTTAATACCCCTGTACTTTGAGTCCTCTCTAACAGAACAATGCTAAGCTCCAGTTGAAAAGATTTCGGGAAGTTTACAAAAACATACCAGTGAACAAAATTACATATTGTTTAAGAACCCTAATTGCCTTAACTAACCTTGATTTATAAAATGTACTTATCTTGTCCCTTGAAGTTTTCGTAGTTTCATGTCTGTTCACATTTTCTGGTCTAGCATATGCACTGGTACAGTATCTGACCATTATTAACCTATGCTGGTCAATGGGTCAATGTACATCATACAATTACTGCCCGTCATCATCTGTACATGTATTTATCTCAGAAGACAGACTTCAATATTTTCAATTCACGATACCCTTTTTATTTCAATATTCAGTGGAGCATGTGAGTCAGGGATATTATTTGACACCACTTCTATTCAGCCCTGCGGTATGTTGGCAAATTTTTCAACGCATTTTTCCGTAATGTGTACATATTCATGAAGTGCTTGTCACACAACACAAAGCCAAGTACTAGAATAACAACATTATTTACACCAATGCCAAATTTACAGTAGCAGGACAATCGAGCATTGAGCTAGAGCTTTTATTAAAAACTCATCAAATGAAGCAGGATTTTTCTCTTCCGAATATTAATGACTTGTTAACTGCATTTGTTGCTTAATCATTTTAATTCAAAATGTGTTATGTGACTTTCCTCATTTATCCCGCTGTCACACTGTTATATCTTTAAGTTAACCCTGCCACCAGCTTTGAGTTGAAAGGGGGCATAAAAACCAGCCGAAAGAACATCATGAAAATAGACTAATTTGATCATGATGCTTACTGTTTGTGCCGATGGGGGGACAGCTGCTCGATCACCAGACAGGCCAAGTCCTGATCTCCCCTCCCCCTTTAGTTTAGTGACAGGCCTGATTTAACTCAGTCCCTTTCTTTGATTTATAGAATTAATGAAAACTATCAAGGCTTTCAATTTTCCAAGTACATACAGTGTACACTGAAGTGATAAACTTGTGTCTATCATCTATCTTTTTTAAGAGGAAAAAATTAAATACACTGTACATGTACCAAACCTCAAAACCTGATTTGTTTTGGAGAAAGAATGAATTTTACACACAAGAATACAGACCTCTGAGTTTGGCCACGGACAAACAAGGTCTCAGCTGGCAAAGTTTAAATAGCCCAGTCAAAATGCATGTGGGCAACTCAGTAAAATGATGCAAATTTTTTGACCAACTTACTTTTTAAGCAGCGCTACATACATGTATGACTTTTTCTCACCAGTTGCTCAAAAATATAATTACTGTTGTAAATATTCTTTATTTGTTAGTATGTATGTAACTTAATCTGCTGAACCTGAATTTCATAATTTATTCATTTTTACTGAGCTGACTTCTATATGTTCCAATGCGCTGAACAATATAGATGTTAAACGCAGCTAAGCCAATCATGGAATATACAATGTATTTTACAGCAACAGACAAAAAAATGAACAAACTGAAACAAAATAAAACAACAAACCAAACAAAACAAATAAATCTGATGTGGTCCAATAAACAGGTCTAGCCATGCTGCAGCAACTGGGCTACAAAACTGGCAAAAATAAAATCTTTAATCACTTTTTTACTTATGAAACTGCCATTGTCTTACCAAATATACACAGTTGACAGCAATGAACGCCCTGTACACCCTTTCACTTGGTTCAGCCATGTCGCCTCTTAGCTGTGGATAAAACCAGGAGACGTTGCCTAGGATACGGCTCAAAGAGCAATGGATGTGTACCTTTTCCCAAAGGAGGTCTCACCCGGCGCGGCGGTAAACCGAAATTGTTTCGATTAATTTCTCCTCATTTTCATGACATATACGAGCTGAAAGACGCCTTCCAGAATGAATACATCACATCAGTTGAATTCACACGATCAATTAAAGCTCAGCACTTGAGGATAAGTTTTGGGTTAAGGTCAAAAATGTAAGATTTTCTTATCATCTTCCGTGCTTTCGATAACAATTACTGTTCACGTCGCGTCGACGATACGGCCGGCTGCATGCTGAAGCTCAAGGGCCAGGGAAGTAATTTATTTTGCTGTCAAACGCCAATGATCCGCCAATTGGTGGCGCCATACATCTTTAAGACGGTTTCGAGGCAACTCGGACCCATGCCAACTCGGACCCACAACCAACTCCAACTCGGACCCATGCCAACTAGGACCCAATACTAACCCAGACCCACAAACATCTCGGACCCAATACTAAC